ATGACTTTGTCTCACAGCAGAGTGGAGGTTGGTACTTGCACTCCTGACAGAAGGCTCTGATGTAATGGTCCAGTACTACTGTATACTGATGAGCACATGCCCAAATCTGAGCTACATAATGCACTGTTCTGAAAACTGATACTCTGTCGGTTCATTGACACAAATCAGTACTCATAGTAGCCAAAATTATTTCCCTAGTTTCTTTGTACAACAGCCTTCTCAGTCTTCATAATAACTGTCTCTAGTTTCTTCTGTCTTCAAACTTCTGGTTCTTGATTCCCACTTTTTTGATTCTCTTCATACTTCATTCTTCTTTGAAGAAATAGAAGCCACTGGAATAGTCTGATCTTCTAGCATATGCTCTCACTGGGCCTTGCACCTGCTTTTTGGTTGCATTGGAAGAGTGTCTTTAGCAAATGTTAGTGAAGGCATAAAGTTAAAAAAATGAAGAACTATTGGATTTTCTCAAGGCTATGGTTTTGTCATATGATAAGGAAATAGAAGCAGGATCATGGAATGAAGGGATGTATAAGGTATTGATTAAGATGATGAAGGAGAACACTTAGGTTACACTAAGGAGGTTTGGAAAGGCTATAGGGAATCATGTTGTATTTACCAAAAACTACAAACACATAAGTTCATGTGTATCTCATCTTCAGTAAATTGTGTCTTCCATATATAACAGGGAATCTGTACCCATAAACTCTCAACAATATAGTAGTCAAAACAAGACTCAAACAATTGACATGCCACCATGGCTGATGGAAATCTCATAAGGCCCATCCCCTAGATGAAGATCTACAGGAAATTAATGACTACAAAGAAGGGAGAATTAACTTTTTCCAAGGATGAGCCTTGGACATATATGAGACAATAATAAGAAAAAAAGAGGTAATGAACTTAAAAAGGAGTCAAGGGGATGTAGGAGATGGAGGAATGATGCAAATGCAGTATTCATATATGAAATTTAAGCCAAATGTTTAGAGTGTTAGAGTATTTATCATGTTTCCCTACTTTTCTGTTAAACTGTGAGACTTATAATTGTATCCAGATAATAGGTAGGTAGAACTGTATGAAAGTAATTTTCATTAAATAATACTATATAAAAAAAGATTGATCCTAGGGTTGGGGATTCCAACACAAGGGCCCTCATTCAGTCCCAGGCACCAAGATAAACTAGGTAGATGATGGATCCTGTTACTTAAGTGGGAGCAAAGAGGAAATGAGGGCATAGTGAGGTGAATATTGTTGCTATGTAGAAATAGTAATTTATAGGTTGTGTGGGCCGTTATCCAGATTCTTTGCCTATTCATTAGGTCACTCATCCTTTTCTTACTAACCTAGAGAATTTCTTATGGTTTCTTGCCAGAGTCCAGCCCCAGGAGAGTTCTTGTGCCAGAGGAAGGATGTGTGAAGTCGGAGAAAAAGGAGAAATCTGACCACTGGTTGTCTTCCAAACTGATGGTCCCGACTCGCTCAGGCTAGTCTTTATTTATATAGGTTCTAATGCTGCAAAGGCAGCCAGGGACAACTGGAGAAACTGGTTTCTGTAACAGAGACATTTGGTTTTTCTGCAGAGGATTTTGTTCCCTGTAAACTCAGGCATAATCACGATTAACAAGGCAAAACTAAGAGTTTCCATAAGAGTAAACATAGAGAAAATTAGTGAAGCCTACAGTCCATGAACTCCCTAAGGTCAGTACAGGAATTTACAGTATTGTATCCATAGATCCTTGACAAATGGATGGGATTCTCCGAAGGGCCTTGCCATTAAAGGAGCTCCATTTGCAACACACCTATGTACAGTGCCCATGGGTGACAGCATGGCTTCTGCCACTTTCTGAATACTATCATTTTGTTATTTGCAAGGCCTATAGTAATTTTAGTTATGTTTGTGGCTTTTATCATCATCATCATCTCATGGTCGTTATTGTTTCATGTAGCCCAGGCTAGGCTGCAACTCTTTTTGTAGTTGAGGATGACCTTGAATTACTGGTCCTTTTGCCCATCACAACCAGTTTGTAGGGTGCTGAATTGAACCCAGGGCTTTGTACATGCCAGGTATGTACGCTATCAACCAAGACATATCTCCATTTTTATAATGACTTATTTTATTGCACAGATGCTATCAACTTCATCAAATCATATTTTATGTCTTCTGCTTTAAAAAAGTAAGACCACAAAGGTAATCTAGATTTTTTTCCAGAAAGTTTTAAAGCTTCATCCTTCCATCCTTTATGTCTTCTGCAATTTACTTTTATGAACCGTATTACTAAAGGTCTACTAGTCTGCGACTCTACACAACTGATTTCTGCTCCTTCACTTCACAGAAAATGCTGATCCACAGACAGTATGCCCAGTTCTCACTTTCTATTTTACTTGGGTTTTCATTAGCATTCGGCATTTTCTACAGCTCTCTCATCCTAGAAGAAACTTCTCATCATGGTTTCTTTTTATTTATTTTTTTACTTGTTTTTTTATTTATTCTTATTTCATAAACACATCTGGATACAGTCTCCCTATCTCCACTCCTCCCAGTCTGCCACTTCACTTCCTTTTTCCTCCACTCCTCCTCATTTCCCTTCAGAAAAGAACAGGCATAACAAGTTACAATAAAACTAGGCAAAATTCCTCATATCAAGGCAGGACAAGGTGACCCAGTATGAGGAAAAGAGTCCTGTAGTGAGATATTCACCCCACCCTCACCTGTTGCAGTAACCATGCCCATTGGGGTGGAGAAAGGTGTGGAGGTGACCTGGGAGAACTAGGTCTGGGGTCGGAGGCCCCAGAAGGCTTGCTCTTGCTTCCTGGTTGGAGACAGAGAACATCCAGAGGCATCCTTGGGACAGGAACCTGCTTGCAGTCATCTGTTTCCTGACTAAACATCCATCAGCCTATTCGTTTCCCCAGATTGTTATTTATCCACAATAGACTCCCCAAACAGGCAAGAGTCAAGAGACACCCTCTCTCCCACTGTTAGGAGTCCCATAAAAACACCAAGCTGAACAACTACAGCATGCATGCAGAAGATAATAGCCCCCACCCACCCAGACAGTGTTTCTCTGTGTAGCCCTGGCTGTCCTGGAACTTACTTTGTAGACCAGGCTGGCCTTGAACTCACAGAGATCCACATGCCTTTACTCCTCCACTTAGTACTGGGATTAAAGTGATATGCCACTACTGTCACATGGTTTCTTTAATAGTAAACTTTCTTATTTTCTCTGAAATTGTTTTTCAGTTTCTTTTAATAAAAATAACAGCAGCTGTGTTGTTGTTTTATCTAAGCTGATATATTTGCCAGTAAAGATTTTAAAGTCAAATGTTTGGGTGAAAACTGCTGGCTCAGAGAAGTCAAGAAGCAATTATCTGACCACGCCTTTAGGACAGTGACCCAACAAGATTGCATCTCTCCACTGATCCTGAACCAAAAAGGCCTGCAAATCTCTAATTCCATCCTTACTCCTTCCTGTACATCTCCATATCTTTCTTCATGGGTCCTCTATACTCTCTGTGGCTAATTGTCAACTGGCTCTGCCCCTAGATCCAAGGTTAATTTTATTAATGCAGCCCCAGAGTTTCACAGTGTGATCAAATATCCTGCAAAATTTCTCCTTTTTTGTCAAAATAAAAATGAAAGGGTTTAACTCGAATACAGTAAAACTATATACCTAAGAGGGGGATTGCAGGCTCCTGTGGTAAATTAATTCCCATTTTCCTGAGGAACCGTCATACTGATCTGTAGATTGCTTTTGGCAAGATTGCCATTTTTACTATATTTATCCTACCTATCCAAGAATATGGGAGATCTTTCCATTTTCTGGTATCTTCTTTAATTTCTTTCTTTAGAGCTACAAAGTTCTTATTTTATCAGTCTTTCACTTGTTTGGTAAGCATTACTCCAAGATACTTTATGTTGTTTGTGGCTATTGTAAAGGGTGATGTTTCTCTTATTTCTTTCTCAGCCTCTTTGTCGTCTGAAAAAAGTAGGGCTACTGATTTTTTTGAGTTTATCTTGTATCCTGCTAGTTTGCTGAAGGTGTTTATCAGCTGTAGGAAAAAAGAAGAGGAGGGCAGAAGATTGTAGTGTCCCAGAAGACAAAGGAGATGTTTCAGGATGAAGAGTATGGCCAGCACTGTGAACACAAGCCCTGGGTAAATGAATCAAAGCCTTTAAAGTATCAATTGAGTTTTGTGATGTGGTAGTTGTAAGACAGGTCGTGGTGGTTTCTTCAGAAGGAAGTGAGAAACGAGGAACAGGAAATGGGTCAATAGGAAATCATTTCTCAGAGACAGCAGCAGAGACAGGTATGACAGACCCTTCTTTTCCTTCTTTGGACCAGGTAGGGTGTGTTTCCATGCAGTCCAGATGCCTACCTACTGGTCTTCCTTGGAGTAAAGGGTAGTTTTAGGGCACTGGATACCAAAGGAAAAAGTCCCACTTACACCCCCTCCCCCATCCCACTCCACCCCATGCCATGAGGCACAGCCACTTCACTCAGTTCCTGGGTGTGAGAAACAGTAAATAGTGAATGGATTACCACAAATTCAGTCATGGTTCCCAGGGCCAGGCAGCAGCTATGATACAGCAGATAATGGTTATTTTGAACGGTTCCCAGTCAGTTTCACCGTAAAGTTTCCACAGAGGGGAAACTTCCAGCTTTTTTTTTTCCCTTGGAAATCATGCATGAGCAGATTCTGAAGGCCTAGCGGCGCTTTCGTGCTGCCCTTAGCAGCACTTCGCAAGACTTCACACTCACAACCTCTTTCCACGATGGCAGCTTTAGGTGCCCGTAGTCACAGTCTCAGGCGCCCCCTAGCACCAACTTCCGGTGAGGGGGGTGTGGCGCGTGGCTCCTGGGGTCCAGGTTCCCAGCCCGCAGCGCCCCCTGGTTCTTAAGGTTCCGGGGAAGAACCGTGGCGCTCAGGCGGTTGCTGCCCGCACACCGCTGCAGCTCTCTGACGCCGGAGGCTACACAGGTGCCCCGAGGATCGTGGCGGCCGCCGCGGGGCCATGCTGCGCTGGCTGCGTGGCTTCGTGCTGCCCACCGCAGCCTGCCAGAGTGACTATGACCGCTTAGCCTATGAGATCCTCTTCGAAGACCTGGACCGCAATGGGGACGGTGTGGTGGACATCGGGGAGCTCAGGGATGGGCTGAGAAACTGGAATTCCTCGTTTGGTAACGACTCCGAGAAGGTGAGCCACCAAGAGAGAGAATGTGGCACTGGGAATGTTGGAAAGATGTTGCTGCACTGAGCGGAGCCAAGCTGCTGCCCTGCTCATTTCAGAATTTTCCAGATCTTTCCTGAGCTTGTGGAGTAGGAGTGGAATTCCCTTTTGTGGGGTTCTTCATGCAGAATAATAATAACACAGCCCCAGCGAAACATGTTAAAGTTCTCAAAATAGTCATTAGCTGTAGTGACAAAACCACCCCGGCATTTGAAGGAGATTCTGAGGTCCTGAACATTTCTTGTCCAGAAGGGTTAGGGCTGTGTTAACCTTTGTCCGAAGCAAACCTGGTTTTCTCAGGAGGCTTTCAGCCTAGGGAGATTGCCTCAGGAACAATGTATATCCCAGAGCTGGTGTCTTTCTGACTTGGCAGTACACGAATCTAAGGCGACTCAACATGTTAACATTTTATCAGTGTCTTTCATAAACTAGGACTGTCTTCCTTTTCTAGAATGGCCACTACCCCAGGAGTCCCCTGTTTAGTCTCCTGGTCCACAGTTATTCCAAGTTAACCACAGGAATCTGAAGATTTGCTGCTGTAATCCACATGTGAAAGAGAATGATCTTTTTGGGTCTGGATTAACAAAGTCATCTTCTCCTCCTCCTCCTTCTTCCATCCACCCATTTACCTGCAAAGTTCATGAGTTGGTTTTATTAATTTTTAATGGCTGAATAAAATTCAACTGTATATATGGTCTACATTTTCATTATCCATTCATTAGTTGATGGATATCTAGGTTGTTTTCATTTTGTAATTATTTTGAACAGAGAAGTGGTGAACATGGCCAAACAATTATTTCTCTGGTAGGATATAAAGTCCTTTGAGTGATTTTTATAGCTTTTTTGAGGATTCTTCCCGGATCCTGATTTCCATCTTGATTGCTTTAGTTTCCAGTCTCACCAATAACAAATGAGAATCTCCATTCCACTCAATGTCACCAGCTATTGTTACTTGCTTTCTTGATGATAGCCATTTTGACTGGGCTACAATGAAATCTCAATGTAATTTTAATTTCCATTTACTTGATAAAGATGTTTAACACTAATGATTTCTTAGCCACATGACTTTCTTCTTTTGAGAATTCTGTTCAGTTCATTAGTTTATTTTTAAATGGGCTTGTTTTTTGTTTGGTTTCTTGAGTTCTTTGTATATTCTAGACACTAATCTTCTATCAGATGTATAGCTGGCTATGATTTTTTTTTTTCTGTTCTATAGGCTGCCTTTGTAGTTGACTAATGGTTTGCAGCACAGAAGCCTTTTAGTTTCACAAAGACCCGTTTGTTGATCATTGGCCCTATTTCCTTCTTGAGTGGTCCTATTCAAAAAGTACTTTAGCCTCAAGTGTACTCACTGCTCTGTCCTCTAGAAGTTTCACATCTAACATTGAGAGCTTTGATTGATTTGGAATTGCAATTTTTTCAGGGTGAGAGATAAAGATAAAATTAAATTCTTCAGCTATTTATCTATCGAAAGAGCTGCTTTTATAAGACCTGGTTCTGCAGAGCTGAAACCAAGTAAGCAGTTGCAGATTGGCCAATTTTCAGTTTCAGTGTCTTGGCACCATAATATCAGCTTCTAAACACTTAGTCTTCTGTACCCTAGCCCTTGAGTCTGCTGTGAGGAGTATTCCCAAGTCTGCAAGCATGTCAGAATATGCTGGCCTGTTTCTCTTCTCACTCAGTAATCTGAAATTAAGCTAAGAGCTCTTCACCAAGAAAGTTGCATCATGTCAGGGAAATTGAATCCTTCATGTGATCTTTAACTTAAAAGCTGTTATGTCTTCTACTTGGTAATTCCTAAATGTCCGGGGAAGGCATTAGCTTACAATATCTCACTATAATAGTGCATTTCAGGATAATTTCACCTGCTGGGATAGTTGCAGACTCAGTAGCTTTGGACCTGAGACTGTATAGGAATCATAGAGTCCAGAGGGGAACAGAATAGAGACCCCAGACTAATGGGAGTCTGCAAAGATATGCAGTGATGACAGCTGGCATTTAAAGGCTACCCACCAGAGAAATTCATATCTGATGGGGGTTAAGTTCATATGCAAGGCTTATGAAAAATACTGTCTATAAATAACTGGCTTCTTCTGTCTGTGAGTCTCTTGTGTATCCTGTGGTCTCTCTTTCCAACAGCTTGGGACTTGTCCTACAAATGCTAGCAATGTATTCCTCAGTTTCTGGGTACTGTTAGTAGTATAACTTCTTCCTACATTGTATTTTCTGGCTCATAAAACAAGCTCGCATAGTCTAGTCCTTGTCCCATTTTATGGTAAGAAACTTTGAAGCCTATTCTCTATCAATAGCCCAACTGACAGGGCAAATTGGCCAGAGGGAACACCCTTGTGGAGAGATCACAGGAGGAACTTTCACAGAGCACAATTGCAGATGTCTGTCCATGTTAGATCTAAGTCCTTCAGAGATTTATGACAATAAGGTTCTTGCTATATTGCAGACCTTCAAGGGATCAATAGCATCTATGCACCCTAAGCTTCCTTCCCCATTACCTCCCTGATCTGATTCAAAATAGCAATTAACACTCTATACCAGCTTTGGACACAGATTTTAGGCTCAGTAGACTATTTTTGTTTAGGTCCTGAGATTCAGGTGACAAAAAAGGCTGTTAACTGACTAACCATGTCCAGATAGTATTAATCACACTTAAGAAATGTAACATAATGTACATATTCTTTGCTTTTTCCCTTAGATCACTCAGTGGTTTAGTTTCCTCCCTTTGTAACCTGTAGTGTACCTTTAAGAGGTAACTGGAACTTTTACAACCTGCAGTTGTTGTTAGTCACCAATTAAGCTGACCAAGTCTTTGCCACATGTGACTCATGACAAAGAACGCTGGCCCCTGAGATTTGCCTTGTAGTTTTTATTATTATTATTATTATTATTATTATTATTATTATTATTACTACTACTACTAACAAGCTGTTAATGAATGGATATATATGGAATTTGTAACACCAGAATAATACAGATCATATAGAACGAAGGGCATGGGCCCTGTGTATGAAGTTATCATAGAAATCTTTTATATCCTCAACTCCGGCTCCTGGGAAGTTTTTCTCTCAGGAACCCTGGGTAGGGGCTGGGAGCTGGACACTTGGTCCTTACACTAGACTAGTACTGTGTGGTTTGCTGCTTGCTGCTAGGCCTGTAGAATGAACCCCGGATGCATGATTCTTCATAATCCTTAATTTCTTGTATTTGTATTGTTTATGCGTTTGAGGAAGCAGTCCATTTCTTTGGCCTGTATATTTATTTTGTTATTACTTACATCCACTGTTTACTTATCTATGCTTCTGGAAGGGCTAAGTGATAATTGGATAAGTAGAGCTTATTGCATGGTCTTTGCTATTTGGCTGAGCTACTGACTTTGCTCATATGCTGGGTAGTGCATCTTGTTAGATTTATAAGTGGCTTGTGGTCTGATTGCCTCATAGCACATATTGTTCAGAAGAGAAATTTGACTACAGTTAGACAAATTCTTATACTGGGTTCCAGATTTAGGATGAGTCACTTGTGGGACAGGTGAGATCAGAGACAGTGTCTTAGGGTTTTATTGCTGTGAAGAGACACCATGACCATGGCAACTTTTATAAAGGAAAACATTTAATTGGGGTGGCTCACTTACAGTTTTAGAAGTTCAGTCCATTATCATCATGGTGGGGAGCATGGCAGTATCCAGGCAGACTTGGTACCGGCTACATCTTAATATACAGGCCACAGGAAGTTGATTGAGACAATCAGGCCATAGCCACTCCCAAAAGTCACATCTCATAATAATGCCACTCCCTGTGAGATTACGGGGGCCAATTACATTCAAACTACCACATTTAACTCCCTAGCATCCACGAACTTGTAGCAATATCATAGGGCAAAATTCATTTAGTACAACTTCAAAAGTCCCCACAGTCTATCACAGTCTCAACTGTGTTTAAAAGTCCAGAGTTCAAAGTCTTTTCTGAAATTCATGCAATTTTTTACCGGAATCCCCTGTAAAATCAAAATAAAAAAAAGCAGATTATACACTTCCAACATATAATGACACAGGATATATATTACCTTTCCAAAACATAGGGAAGGGGGCATAGTGAGGAAATACTGGACCAAAGAGGACCAGAGAGCAGTTGATAAACTTCAAACTCTGCATCTTCATGTCTGATGTCAAACTCTCTTCAGATCTCCAACTCCAATCAGTATTGTTGACTGCAGCACACTTCTTTCTCTTGGGATGGTTCCACTCCTTTTAGCAGCTTTCCTTGACAGGTATCCCACGACTCTGGCATCTCTAACACCTTGAGTTCTCCAAGACAATCCAGGCTTCAACTTTATAGCTTCATGGAGTGGCCTCTCTACTAGGCTTCCATTCAGGGAAACCCCTGAGACATGTCTGGACTCAGAGGCTTTCCTTAGGGGCAAATTCCATACCCCCTTTTTTCTGTCCTTAACTAAGGCCAAAGCTGCCAAGTTCTGTTGCTTGCTGGGACTGGATCATGGCCCCCTTGTTGAGTTACAACTTCACTGGCTTTGTGTCCTTCACTGCCTAAGGTTGGCTGTTCCGAAACTGTATCTCTAGAACAGGCTGGCCTCAAATTCAGAGATCTACCTTCCCAATGCTGGGATTAAAGTCATGTACCACCACACCTGCCTCTAAACTTGTTGGATCTTACCCTGGGTCGGATCTTACCTTGAGGTATTCTATTTCTCTAATCCGTTTATCTCCTTGAACACGGGACTTAGCTCCATTCCACTTTCTGGTGCTCTTTTTCTCCTCAAAGATTACATTTTGTAATTTGCCCTGCTCCACTTTCTCCTTTTCATTACAAATCTTTATAAGTATGAACACTAATAAACACATGACAGCGTCTATACTTGGCTGTTTTGAGATTTCCTCTGCCAATGGAATTAATCCAAAACTCTCAAATTTAGCCACAGACAGACTCTTCAGACAAAGGCAAAATGCAGTAACATTCTTTACCAAAATATCAAAAGAATGATCTCTAGGCAATATACTAAAATTCTTTTCCTCTGAAACCTGTTGAGTGAGTCTCCCACAGTTCAAATCACCCGCAGCATCACTGTTGTCCATGTTCCTACTAGGGTGGCTCATTAAACTTCACTTAAAGCATTTAGCTGTTTTTCTAATTTGAATTTGAAGTCCCAAAGTCTACATTCCTCCAAACTTAAGTATGACCAAGCGTATCATAGCCATAGCCCACTCCTGGTACCAACTTCTGTCATAGTTAGGGTTTTATTGCTATGAAGAGACACCATGACCACAACTCATAGGAAACATTTAATTGGGGCTGGCTTACAGTTTAGAGGTTTAGTCAGTTATCATCATAGTGGAAAGCATGGCGGTGTGCAGGCAGACATAGTGCTTGAGAATTAGCTGAGAGTTCTACATCCAGACTGACAGGCAGCAGGAAGTGACTGAAACTTGCTTCCTCCAACAGCCACACCTCCTAAAAGTTCCACTTCCTATGGACCTATGCAGGTTATTTTTAATCAACCCACCACAGACTGTGTTTCTTAGAAATGTACCATTGAGTATTGCTTCTTTGTGAAACTGGAGCTATAGGTTTGAGCTTTTGGTTTAGTATTTGTATGATATGTTAGGTCAGGGAAATTGAGTCACTGTGCTTCTCCAAAATACATGTATGTTGGGCTCTTCTTGTCTGGTGTCATTGGGCAGGCATTTTGCATGAGTGGAACAACTCCTTGACTTTCTGGGTTCAGCAATTCTAGTCTCCATGATTCTTTGTAATGGATGGAGTTGAGCATTCCTTGTCTGGGTAATTATTGTTGGAGTGTTCCTGTGGTTGTGTGTATAAACTAGCATCTTTGTTGAGTCAAATTAGGTTAAACTTCATATTGTGTTTCTGACGGCAGCCAGTGCAGTTTTAAAAGTGCCCATGAAATTGACTAATGTTTCTGATTGGCTATCTAATCTGCCAGGAACAAAGAGAAAGCATCAAGATTTATGTACTAGTTTCTATACTCTTTGACCCACTTGCCCTGTTTTTGGTTTCTGTCTGACTGCAAGTAGTCAACCATATTGCTCCTCCCAGTGGCCCATGTGTAATAAGAATTGGATGGACCTCCTAGCACCTATGTTGGAATGCTAGGGAAGCTGAGCGGCTGCCTCTGGTTGTCTTTTGTCTCGTAGGAGCATGACCATGAAGAGATTCGATCTGTCCTTACACTGACTTCAGTGAATTGGGGTCATGCTTGAAATGAGACTGTTGTTCTTGTTCTTAATATTCACTTCTGCCAATTATGCAGGTGTTTTAGGCTTGCTTCTAAATCTTGGAAGATTTCTGGTATGTGTTCTGGTGTGTGTATGGTTGACAGTTAAATTTTCTGGTCTATGTGCATATGGTAGAGAGGAGCCTAAGACTTTGTCTTCAGTGATATTGTAGATATTACTCTTAAAGGTTTATTTTCAAAGTAAAACTTTGTATTTCTACCATAGGCAGAAAATTAGTAGATCATAAATAAACATAAAATGTACATTTTAAAAGTTATATTTTAAAATGTTGAAGTTGAGACTTCTACTCTGGTGTGTTTTTCTTTAAGAAGTTGGTAAGTTTTGAGGTGTGTTAGAACAATGTCGACATTTCCCATGATGTGTATAGTCAAGTGTGATGATATTTGAACACCAGTGTTTTGCTTGGGTCTGTTGAAGAAGAGTCACTCCAAGATAAATTTTAGGCTCTCTGCAGGAGAGCTTCTAATGGACTGAAATTTGCAACTTTGCAAAAGCCTCCTTTTATTGTTACACAAATCATTTGTTTAACAAGTCAATTTCCACATACCAAAACCTCTTATCTGGAGTTGTTTGAAGGAACCATTTGCCTAAGTAATTCTCAGCCAGGAGACCTCCTGGTTTGCCAGGTCCATTCAGGAAGAACTCAGAGAAGACTCACTGACTTTAAACAAAAGGTTAACAGTCACCAACTTTAAACAAAAGGTAGTTGCAAAGCCTAGGTACTGTCATTCCAGAATTCAAGCCAGATACAAGGGCCCTGTGGAATCTCTTGCTATGCTTGCTACAAAGACTGATTTTCTCAAGCAGTGATTTAATATTGTTTTCATGTGTTAGCTGGTTTGAAAAGAAATGGCTCCCAAAAGGACTGGCACTATTAGGAGGCATGGCTTTGTTGGAGTAGTTGTGTGTGGCCTTGTTGGAGGAAGTGTGTCACTGTGGAGATGGGGTTTGAGATTTCCTCTGCTCAAGCTACATTCAGTGTCTTGTTGCCTTTGGTTCAAGATGTAGAATTCAAAGCTCCTTCCCCAAAACCATGTCTGCCTGCATGCCTCAATGTTGCACCATGCTGACAATGGACTAAACTCTAAAAATGTAAGCCACCCAATTAAATGTTTTTCCTTTTTAAGAGTTCCCATGGTCATGTTGTCTCTTCACAACAGTAGAAATCCTAAGACATCATGTGAGTACCATATATGTCCTGCTTATTGGAAAACACCAACCTGAACCATTAATTTGAGATAATTTTTGTATTATTTCTTCCTTCTTTATCTTTTCTTCCACTCATTTTTGTATTTAGCAAATCAGATAGAGATGAAATGAAGTTATGTCCATATCTTCCTTAGGATTAAATGGTCAATATATTTTGATTGTTATTATCACTATTAGAATTACTGTATTTTTATAACTAACATCTGTTCTATCTCCATGCAGTTATTTCACATACTATAGAAATGTTCACTCCTGTTTATCTGTTTAGTAAGTGTTTTTCATTGTGAATCTCAGCTCAAGCAGTCTTCCTTTATGAAGGCTCTCTGGAGACTTTCAGCATTTTCCCTTTATTTAATATCTCAAAGCTTATTGTACCTTGAATTTCTTGCATTATTTTACCTAACGTATTGCCTTTGGTTATGAGAGTCATCTTTAGTAGTCTAAAATTTGCTGCATACTGGAGACTGTAACTTTTTGTCTTTTTATTTCCAGCAGAGTGTTGTGTGTGATATGCAGTACACAGTATGCAATGTATGGTATGTCCAGTGTGAGTGTGTGCGGTGTGCATTGTGCGGCAGTGCTGAGTGTATGCTGTGCAGTGTGTGATGGGTATTATGTGGTGTGTAGTGTGCAGTGTATGCAGTGTTGAGTATATGCTGTGCAGTGTGTGGTGGGTAGTATGTGGTGTGTAGCGTGCAGTGTATGCAGTGTTGAGTGTATGCTGTGCAGTGTGTGGTGGGTATTATGTGGTCTGTAGTGTATGGTCTGTGCAGTGTTCAGTATATGATGTGCAGTGTGTAACGGGTATTATGTGGTGTGCAGTGTGCGGTCTGTGCAGTGCTGAGTGTATGCTGTGCAGTGTGGGGTGGGTATTATGTGGTGTGTAGTGTATGGTCTGTGCAGTGCTGAGTGTATGCTGTGCAGTGTGTGGTGGGTATTATGTGGTGTGCAGTGTGTGGTCTGTGCAGTGCAGAGTGTATGCTGTGCAGTGTATGATGGGTAGTATGTGGTGTGCAGTGTATGGTCTGTGCAGTGTTCAGTGTGTGCTCTGCAGTGTGATCTACTTTTTTTTTTTTAACACATAGCATTTATTTTCAAACTCAATAAATACTAAGTATGAGTTAGCTAATCTATTAAAGGTGTTCATATTTTCTACTTTATGCTAGATATTGATGGTACAAAGATGAATAATATGGTCAGTGAGCTACGAGTCTTTGGCAATATACAATGTATTTTTTACATGTTATTTTAAATATTTATATTTATGTGTGTTTTGTGTGCATTCACATAACTGTACTGTGTTTGTGTCTGGTGCCTGAAGAGTACAGAGAGAGTGCTAGATCCCTTGGAACTGGAGTTGCAGTTGGTTGAAAGCTTCCATGTGGGTGCTGGGAGTTGAACCCTGGTCCCCTGGAAGAGTAGCAAGTGTTCTTAACTGCTGAGCCATCTCTCAAGCCCTATAATGTTAACTTTATTTTAAAAAGCTTAACTTAGTGAGACTTGAATATACATGCTTACTTCACAAGACTAGGTCTCAAACCATTGATCTGGGAAACATATAGAATTTCATGTTTATCCCATTTAGTAGACAGATTTTTCTTTTTGGTCTCTCATGGCAAAGGCTAAAAACCTTAGTATCCTTAAGCCTTTGAGGTGTGTGTATCTGAGGTAAATACTTATTAATAAAATTCATATTTATTTGAGATGACATGATGACTGTTAACTTCAATACTGCATGAATTAAAAAAATCGAATCACTTAATGTGTTTAGGCTTGCACTAATGACTAAGTTAGGTAATGGGCACTTATAAAAACCATAAATAGTAAATGTGCTAAAATTAGCATGGCATAGTGACTTTACATATGATTTGTGCAATGAGTGTCTTCTTTTGTAGACAATTCTTCATGCTGCAGATGCCAATGCTGATGCAGGACTGGATTTTGAAGAATTTGTGCAGTACCTTCAAGACCATGAGAAGAAAATGAAACTGGCATTTAAGAGTCTGGACAAAAATAATGATGGTGTGTGTATGTTTTATCCACAGTTAGCTTGATGTGAATAAGTGTTAGTACTAATGAATAATTTTTACCAGGCATTTTACTTTCCTCCTAATGTCAGATCCAATTTATTATCTAGCAATAATTTTTATACTACTGAGAATAATATAATAGATGTCTTTAGGTTTCTATTGCTGTGATAAAACAACATAACCAAAAGCAACTTGAGTTTTTTCTTTTTTTTTGTAGGAAATTCTTGAGGTTGCAAATCTCACTGTGTAGCCCTAGCTAGCCTGGAACTTGCTATGTAGACCAAGCTGGCCTTGAACTCACAGAGCTCTCCCTGCTTCTGCTTCCTGAGTGCTGAGATAAAAGGTGTGCCCTACATGCCCTTCATGTTGTGGTGACCCCAACCATAAAATTATTGTTATTATTATTATTATTATTATTATTATTATTATTATTATTATTTTGAGACAGGGTATCTCAGTGTAGTTTTGCCTGTCCTGGAACTCAAGCTGTAGATCAGGCTGGCCTCGAACTTACAAAGATCCACCTGCCTCTGCCTCCTGAGGAATACTGTGATTAAAGGCATGTGACACCATTGCTCAGCATAAATTTATTTTTGTTGCTACTTCATAACTGTAACTTTGCTACTGTTATGAATTGTAATGTTTTCTAAGGTGACCCCTGTGAAAGAATAGTTCAACCCCAAAGGGGTCATGACTCACAGGTTGAGAAATACTGCTTTAGCCCTTCTTTTAAAATTTAATTTACTCTTTGAGACAGAGTTTCACTGTGTAGCCCTGGCTGGCCTGGAACTCACGATGTAGACAGAAATCCACCTGTCTCTGCCTCCTGAATATTGGGATTAAAGGCATGCACCATTACACCTCTCACATCTGATATCTTAAGTTTTGAATAAAATGAATTTTGCAGAAGTTTATATTCTCTAAATTTATAGCTTTGTTTATTGGATAGTCTCTCTCTCTCCCTCCCTCCCTCCCTCCCTCTCTCCCTCTCTCTCTCTCTCTCTCTCTCTCTCTCTCTGTTTCTCTCTCCTTCCCTCCCTTTCTCTCCCCCCCACCTTACAGGATTTCTCTGTGTAACAGTTCTGGCTGTCCTGGAACTCATTTTGAAGATCAGGCTGGCCTCAAACTCAAAACACTCCACCTGACTCTGCCTGAGATTAAAGGCATAACTACTACAGCCTGGCTGCCCTTCTTCTTCTTCTTTTTTTTTTTTTGTAATAAATAAATGGAAAATTTGGTATGAGAGTTTAAAAAATGACATTAATGAGCTGGCAACATGGCTTAGTGGGTCAGAGTATTTGCCTGGCAAGCACTTAATACTGGAGTTAATTTCTGCGATCTAGCATAAAAGTACGAGGAGAGAGACTCTCTTGAAAGTTGTCCTCAGACCTTCACAAGTGTTTTCTGGCACACATGCTCCATACCATGTACACACACACACACACACACACACACACACACACACACCACTCTAAAAACTGACAGTCTTGATGATATTTGTTTCAGGAAATTTAGGTAATGTAGACAAACTTCTGAAAGAAAACAAAAATTGCTTATAATCCTGCTCTTTGTTTCTTTTTTTATTGCTATGATAAAATACTTTTACCAAGGGAGGCCACCAAACCCCTTCCTCTCCCCAAACTATTGTCATTGCTCTTGTCTACCAGAAATGGATGGTAAGAATATAGCTGAAGACACCATTCTCTGTGTTCATAGAACATGGAGAAATATGCTGGTACTGACCTGGGAACAATGCCCCCTGCTGGCTAGCTTTCATAGTGCTGAAGGTCACAAATGACTGGCTAGACGAGATATGTCCATGGTGCAATAGTTTCATGAATGTTATAGGGGTAACTAGCTGCTTCCTGATTGGATTTTAGGCCTGCTACAAAAGAGAGAAATCTTGTCTGGTACTATAAACCTGTTTAAGAGCGGGAGGCAGGGAGATCATGGGGCCATGTTTTTTTTTTAAGTCAATGCCTGGTTATTCTGCTTGCCACACATTTATGTCCAAAGATTAGTGCTGCTCTCAGCCCTTGTCAGAGAAGCATCTTATGGGCAGTGGTTACTGCAGACTCATAACTGGTTGAATTGCCAAGAGTAAAGGATGGTGGAATCCTTGGCTGTAAATAGTTCCCCTATGTTACTCCCTCCGGTACTCAAAGGACATGGCGAGAGAGAGAAGCAGAAAGAGCAAAAAAGCTGGAGGGTGGGGAGACGTGTGGAATGACATGGCTGTTACACTCATGAACTCACAGTCACTGTGGTAACCTGCATAAGAGCTGCATATGATTGGGCCCTGTCCACCTTTTCTCATGAGGCCCCACCCCTCCTTAGGGACTTTGAGCACTAAATGGTGACTAGGGGGAGAGGTGTTACTTTTTCAGTCATGCAATTCCTGATAAGTTGCCCATGTACCAGTTAATGACCTCCCGCTCATGGTCTCACAAACGACCCCGGTTAGACTCAGTGGGTCACACAGATAAGGACATGGAAATAGCACAGGATTTTTTTTTTTTTTTTTTTTTTTTTTTTAGGAAGAGAAAAGGTTTCTTTGGGAGAAGGGGGCCTTAGAGAGGGTATAGTAGAGTGGGAATATTACTAAAATGTATTATGTACACATGTGAAACCGTTAAAGAAAAGAAAACTGACAAAAGCAGCAGAAGGTAGAAAAGGCTTATTCTGGTTCACAGTTGAAGGGCACAGTCCATCCTGGCAGGGAAAATGGCAGTGGCTTGAAGCAGCTGGAGGTTTATTCTGGCTCAGGTCCATCCTGGTGGGAGTCAGAGTGTCGGGGCATGAAGCTGCTGGTCCACAGAGAGATGAATGAATTCCAGTTTGCTTCCTCTAACATATAGTTTAGGATCCATCTAGGGAATGGTGCCACCCACAGTGGGCAATGGTAGCCTTCTCAATGAATACAATCAAGATTATACCCCAGGGATATCCAGAGGGTGATCTGTCAAGTTGACAGTTAACACGGATATTTTGAGATCCAGTTTTCCATTTTGATCAGTTTCACAATCCTTATAGACTTGTTTCCTTCTTGGTTTCTTTTTTCTATAAATGAACTCTCAGTCCCATATATAGTTTTGTGTCCCATGTTTCTTTTAATGTTATATTGAGTTTTCATTTCTTTTGCAAACGTAATATTTCAGTTGTATGACTGACTGACTGACCTGGAAAGAATGAAGATATTCTAGAGACACTATGCTCCTACTCCTTTGGCAATCAGGCTATGGAAACAATAGATCCCAGGACAGGAATTTCCTAAGGAATGTTATGCTGGGAGAAGGAAAAGTCTGGCTCTTTGGTTCCACCAGAAGGGGAGGTTTTCTTCTGAAAAGAGTATTCACACAGTTCTGACAATTTGTCATTCTGCTGTCAAGGAGAGGCTGGAGCTGGGACCATGGTGACCTTGACCAGGACTGCTTCATTCTGCACACCTCTGGCTCTCTGTTTAAACCTGAACAACATGTAAAGATGGACCTTGTGGGTGGTGTGCCACTAGTTTTCACCATTGTATTTTCTTATTTCTAATTTATTAATTTTAAATGTGTATATATGTGTGCATGTATGTGTAATTAAGTGTGTCTGTGCACAGAAATGTGCACGTGAGTGCGGGTGCCCATGGGACCAGATGTTTCATATTCCCTGGAGCTAGAGGTAATTGTGAATGGCCTGACATGGTCCTGGGAAGCAAATTTTGGTCCCCTGAAAGAGCTGTACACATTCTTAATAATCGAGTCATCTCTCCAACCTCATTTTGTTTTTTAATTGTCTTGTTGAGGACAGGTGGCCCATTGTAGCTTGTTAGCCTGGCTGTGACCCTAACAACTCTGGTAGCAGTATGTGAATCCCCTAATCATTTTCATATTGTTGGACATGTAGGATAGTTCCGTTCATTTATAAATAGTAGTGTAGTCATTATTTATGTGGGTTTTCAGACTTAGTTATAGTCTGGTTAATTAGATCTGGTCATTGTCTGGCCAAAGATATACTCTAGTGTTGTGGAATTTTATCCTGTTCTTGACTGTTACCACCATGATCATTTGTGAAGCTGAAAACCCTGAGATAATTAGTGAAGTTAAAAAGACTTTAGGAAAATATGCTTCTATTATCCTTGTTGTGATGATTAATCTTGGTTATCAACTTGAATTAATTTGCAATCTACTAAGAGATATGCCTCTGGGCAAGTCTGTGAGGGTACTTTGTACAAGGATTAACTGTGGGGGTGGAGGATGGATATGTGGGGTGTGGGTTGACTTGGTCTATGGGTAGAAGTCTTCAGGAGAGACAGTCCCTCAGAGCAGGCAGCACCCTTCATAAATATCTCAAGTGTAAAGAGGTCTGAGGTATAAGAATTTATCTACTCTTGTTGATACTGCTACTATCATCCTTTGCTGATACTGGAACCCAACTTCTTTGGCCATTGTGGTGGTTTGAATGAGAATAATCCCTATAAGTACATATGTGTAAAAACTTGGTCCCCAGTTGGTGGAGTGTTTGGCAAGCATAAGGAGGGGTGACCCTGTGTGTCACTGGTGGTAGGCTTGGGGTTTCAGAAGACTTGCTTCTTTCCCAGTGTGCTTCTGCCTCTTATTTGTGGATCAAGATGTGAGCTCTCAGCTGTTCCTGCCATCATGCTTTTGCTCCACCATTGTGGACTCTGTCTGAAGCCGTTAGTGTTATTGAACATTTTATTTTGTAAGTTGCTGCAGTCATGGTGTTTTATTGCAGCAAGTCATTATGTTTTATTGCAGCAATATAAAAAGTAAGACAGTCTTCAAAACTGAAGACCAGTGGCTCCAGGAAACCTCTAGACCTTCAGTCTAGGATGAGACTGATGAGCTATCCAGCCTCATGGACTGAACATCTGTGAAGTTTTCAGCCTCTCCAGCATACAGACAACCTTTGTTGGACTGACTACCCAGCCCATATTGTGTAAACCAATATAACAAATCTCTTCTGTAATATATGTTCATTTAATCAGTTTTGTTCCTTTAGAGAACCTTGACTAATACATCTGTTACTAAACCTTGTTAGGAGAAAGTGCTCCTGAGGTAAAGAAGAAATTCCCAAGTTTATATATTAGTATCATGCTACAAGTCTTGATAAGTCAAGCTGGAATATTACATATTAACCCCTCAAAGACCTTCAGAGATACCAATTTGGAAGCGTTACCATTTTGCCTTCTACTGGCTTCACTGGCTTAGTACCCCAGTTGAAGTAGCAGGTACGGTTATCGTCAGGGATACTGCCCACCATCTAGAGTGCAGAGCTCAGGCCCTAGCAACCCCCCAGAGGTGCTGTTTTGATTGCTTTGCCTGCTCTTTGTTGCTAGCTTAGTTCCAGTTACTGCACATGTCGTTGCAATCCCCCTTTGTGTAGAGTTTGGCCAGGGTACTTGACAGTGAGAAAAAGAATACTTCACTTGTTTTTGGGCTGAGTTGTGTCCCAAAAAGATGTGCTGAAATCTTAGCCTCCAGCACACCAGAAAGGGGCCTTATTTGAGAGCATGATCTTTGTATGTGTAATCAGTTTAAGGTATTAGGATGGGGTCTTATTCTGTTATTGAATACTACTCTTATAAAAGATGGTCATGGTGGTGATGCCAAGATTGTCAAATAATGACAGACTTGAATTCTACATGTACATGCCAATGAAAGCTTGAGGCTAGGAGAGGGATAGAGACTAGATTCTACCTGTTGGTAAGCCTGTAGGACATTTTATTAATAAGTGATTGATGGGGGAGTGCCTATGGTGCCTTCCCTGGGCTAGTGGTCCTGGGTTGTATAAGAAAGCAGGTGGAACCATCCATGGAGAGCAAGCCAGGAAGCAGCACCTCTCCGTCGCCTCTGCATCAGCTCTTGGCTTCAGGTTCCTGCTCTGCTTGAGTTCAAGCACTACTACTTTTGATGATGAACTGTTACATGGAGCTGTGGGTGAAATAAACCCTTTCCTTCCCAGGTTGCTTTTTGATCATTTTGCTTCATCACAGCAATAGTAACTCTAATGAATGTGGTGATTTACATAGCAGATTATCAATTAAAAAATTAACAGATGAGCATAGTATTTGCAATTTGTTAAGAAAGGATTAGAGCATGTCATTTGAAGTAAACTGCCTTGTCTGTCTGGAGCTTGGGACATGATTCTTATAAAGAAAACTTGAGACTGAAAAAGCATCTTAGTTTATGGATTAAGTAATATCTCATGCATATACATTCTCATACATGATTTTGATAAATGGCTTATACAAATGAAAAGCATGGCTGAATTTATGGTAGATTTTGGTGTATTTTTTTAACAGGTGACATGAAGTTCATATAAAGAATGATACATACATTCAAGAATTATCAAGGCCAGTGAGATGGCTCCATGAGAAAGGTGCTTGCTGTGCAAACCTGACAACCTGAGTTTGATCCCTGATCCCATAGTGGGAGAAGCGAACTGACTCTTGAAAGTTGTCTTTTGTCCTCCACATACACACTGTGGCACTTGGACATGCCTATGAACCACAACGATGACCAACATGGCACAATAACCCTAAGGGTACAGTAGTGACACCCATACCTTGGCAGTAGTAGCACACATACCTTGGCATTAAGGCCTGCTCAACAAGAGGGAAATTATGGCTGGTATTGGAAAGGCAGCCAACTGCCCAGGGAGTCATGGATCTTGGTGGAAAACCTCCAAACTGCCACTTACTAAACCAGCATAATCCATAACTACATTATAAACATTTGTCCTTATACCCATAGATAAATGTAGTCTTCACTCCTCATCGAGGAAATTTTTCTTTGCAACAGATGGAGACCATTATAGAAGATCACAACTGATCAAAATACAGAGCTGTGGAGCCAAGTTACAACTGATATCACCTACAGCACAACTCCTGCACCTAAGGTTCAGGGATCATTGTTGAAGAGGGGGCAGAAAGTTACACCCATGAAGTCTCACCAGCATGACTGCCTAAACAAGACCTGAACAAGGATGACACCTATAGACATTAGTGGAAGGAAGAAAGCTCATGAAACTTCAACTGTAGACAGTGTCAGGCAACTAAGGAAAAACATTTTTTTTTTTTTTTGAGACAGTTTCTCTGTGTAACAGTCCTGGCTGTCCAGGAACTCACTATGTAGATCAAGCTGGCCTTGACCTGCCTATGCCTCTGAAGTACTGGGATTAAAGGCATGTGCTACCACTGTACAGCCACAACTAAGGAATTCTGAGAACTAGATAGTCTTCCCTAGGGGAGGGCATGCCAATTGGTTATCTAGGAACAAATGGTTAGCCTTAAAACATATACATACAAGTAACACTATGTGGACTAATCAGGTTATATTAATATATTTAAGGATACATATATATATAGACATATGTGTACACACACAAATATCACAACATTTAAAAAGAGGTCATGTATTTGAGAGAGAGTGGGGAGGGTATATAGGAAGGGTTGAAGGGAGGAAAAGGAAGGGAGAAATGATGTACTTACATAGCAATCTTAAGAAAAAGATATAATGAAAAAAATTGAATCTGATTTCACTTTTGGATTTGGAAAATGATACATCTTATATTTGTGTTTTAGAGTTTGAAGAGAATATGAAAATTTTCATTTTCCCTTCACAACATCCACCAATGTGAAAATGAGCTACATAGTAGGATATATGTGTATATATATATATGTATATATATACATATATGCATATATACACACATATATATATATGCATATATATATATAGATATAGTCACATAGCTTGGTAAAACTAGCTCTTATTGAACTTAAGGCATACTCAATAAGAGGGAATATTTTAATTATATATGAATAAATATGCCCACATGTATTTATATACTTAATTATATATGTCATATACATAGAATTTAGTTATATATATGTATGTATGTATATATAGGTATATATACATACATACATATATACACATTATTTGGGTTATTTTATGCAGTACATGTTTCTGTTAAAAGAGCTTGGTTCTATAAGGATGTTGGATCTTTTAATGCTTACTTCATAAATAGTTCTTTATTCTTGTCCCCTGAGGCAGGTCTTCAGCACTAATTTTTTCAGTTCTTTTCAAATAGGTATAATAGTCAAATGTGTTATGATGTGTAGTCCTTGGGGCTAGATGTGGTTTGAAATTTAGAATTTGGAATTTAGATGCAGTGTGCCTGTGATATTTAATTTCCCAAGTGATGTCTGGGTCATGAGCTATTGCATTCATGAATACTTATGTCCTGAAATATGAATGTTTACTTAGGTAAATAACTAAGTAAAAGAGACTTTTACTACCAAATGTCAACTTGCTGCCAATCTTTTGGAATTTTTAGGTGTTGAGTTATGCATTTAGGAGTAAAGATGCACCAAACACAGACTTTAAAAGCAAAAACAGGTGCAGTCCAAGTATACTTTGTGTTGTCAGATTTTCAGATGTTTAACTCTGTATTTTTCACTTTTTAAAGGAATGATAGATGCTTCAGAAATAATTGCTGCCGTGAAATCATTGGGAATCCACATTTCTCTTTCTCAGGCAAACGACATCCTGAAAAGGTCAGCCTGCTCCAATTCTTTATTAGTTTTATGTTCTATGCCAGGAACTAAGTGTGATACATTTCATTTCAAGCTCCTGCTCTCATTTTATAGAGATTGTTTTAGAATTCAAATAGGTTTACGTCTATGAAATGATTGGCATATATTCCTTTAGACTGTAGGTGTGGCATATTATTCAGTTTTCTCTTTATTAACCCACCTGCATTCATTATTGTGGTAAGCATATTGAGTTTGTTTTTCCCCATGAGGATTGGGGGAAGATAGCTCAGTCAGTAAAGTGTTTGTTGTGAAGCATGAGACTTGAGTTTGATCCCTAGCATCCACATAAAATCTAGGTATGGGTCAAGCTCAGGAATGTGGAAACAGATTTATTTCTTGGACCCATTAGCCAGCCAGCCCTGCCTATTCAGCAAGTCCCATCTCTCTCTCTTTCACTCTCTTTCTCTCAATCTCTCTGTCTCTCAATCTCTCTCTCAATCTCTCTCTCTTTCTCTTCCTCTCTCTCTCTCTCCCCCCTTGGTGTGTGTGAACTTGACACAAGCTAAGGTTATTTGGGAAGAATCTCAACTGAGAAAATAGCTCCATTAGATTGCTTATAGGCAGGTCTCTGGGGGAATTTTCTTGATTAATGATTGATGAGGGAGGCCTCAACCTACTTAGGGGCCAACACTTCTGGGTAAGGTGGTACTGGGTTGTATAAGAAACCAATGATCAAGCCATGTGAATGAGGAAGGAATCAGAGTTTCTCTATGTCCTCTGCTTCAGTTCCTGCCTCCAAGTTCCTGTCTGGAGCTCCTGCCTTGAGTTCCCTATATTATGGGACTATAAACCCTTCCCTCCACAAGTTGCTTTTGGTCATGGCCTCATAACAACAATAGGAACCAAGTCAAGACATTCCAGATCTCAGCAAGGGACCCTATCTTAAAAAAAGAAAAAAGCCAATGAGGTAGATGACTCCTGATGAATGACATCAGAGATTGGCCTCTGGCCTCCATATGCACATAAATTGAATGTGAGTGCATGCCTGTGTTCAAGTGAGCATGCATGCATGCACACACAAATACACACATACATGCGCCCGCCCCACATACTTGTGACATATGCAATTTGCTAAATTTCTTTGTAATTTTTGCAATTTTTTTTATAAGAGAGATTGTCCAGATCAGCCTTTCTGTGCTCTCTTAATTTTGCCTTTTATATTGACCTGGAATGAGTCTTTGTAAATCTATCTTTGTAAAACCTAAAATAGAATTGGATTATTGTCCTAGTTAACTTGCCTGTTGCTGTGAAAGAATATCTTGATAAAAGCAGCTTACAGAAGGGATGTTTTATCTGACTCACAGTTATTGATTGTTATATCCACAGTCAAGACCAGAGCACCATAAGTTAATTCATGCATGCTGGTACTCAGCTCACTTTTGTGCACTTTTATACAGCCCAGGATTACTTGCCCAAGAATGGAGCTGCTCACAATGGGCAGGTCTTCTCACATCAATGAACATAGCCAGGGCCTTCCCTCACAGACAATCTCAGAGGCTAATCATAACCTAGACAGTCCCTCACAGGTGTGCCTGGAGACTTGTTTCCTAGATGTTCAGTTGACAATAATAAGCATTACAGTTATTTATTTCTTAAAGGTTTAAAAGACATAGCATAAAGCTAGTTGAGTTGAGCCTTGTATTTTCTATGTGGAAGGATTATAGTTAAATTTCAGTAACATTTATAGAAACATTCATACTTTCTAGTTCTTCTTAAATCAGCTTCATAAAGATGTGTTTTTAAAGATGTATTTGTGTGTGTATACTATGAAAAGGAATCTACAGATTTAGACCAATACTTGTCAAAAATATCTAACATCATTTTTCATTGGAAGAATAAATCTTAAAATTTATATAGAAACACAAAAGAGCCTGTGTAGCCAAGGCAATACTAGAAAAAAAAAAAACAGTGCTGGAAGTCACTGTACCTGATTTCAAATTATACTACAGAACCATAGTAATAAAAACAGCCGATACTAGCACAGATCAACAGAACAGAGTTGAGGACCCAGATAAAAGTCCAGGCAACCGCAGCCACCTGTTTTTTGACAGGGATGCCAAAAGTACACATTGGAAAGAAGACAGCCTCTTAGGATGTTGGGAAAACTGGGTGTTCTGGGAATGAAGTCAATTCCTTCTCTCTCACCCCACACAATAATTAACTGCAAGTGGATCCAAGACCTTCTGAGACTGATGGAGGAGAAAACATGGAAAGCACTCCAAGGTATAGGTGTAGGTAAAGACTTTGTGAAGGGGACTCCAGTTGCTCAGCAAGTAAGGGAAGCAAACTGCAAATGAGACCACATGGAATTAAAAAGCCAAGGGAATAGATAACCCAGTGGAGAGTTGGAGATAATCTTTGCTCGCTGTATTCCAACAGAGGATTAATATTCAAAAATTGGCAGAGCTTAAAACATTAAAAAACAACAAAACAAAGAATCCAATCAAACACTGTCTGTGGGGTTGGGGAATGGCTCAGTGGGGAAAGTTCTTGCTGCATGGGTGTAGGGACGCGAGTTCTGTCCTCAGAACTCACATAAAGCCAGGAGAACGGCTCATGCCAGTACTCTAGTAGTGGGATTGGAAACAGTCAGCTCTGATGTCCTTGCTACTCAGACAATCTGTAGACTGTCATTTCTGTCCCATCTGGTCCCATAGCCATTCAGTCCCAAATAAACACAGAGGAGCAGGCTTCTTATTGGTTAGCTCCCTCTCAAGTACTAACCCATTTCTATTAATCTGTTCATTGGCTAAAACAGCATTTATTCACCCACCAGTAAGAGAAACATATATTCACAGCATACAGAAGGACACCCCCCCCCCCATCAACAATCTAGATGAAACACTGAGCTTCAGGGTTAGATCATATCTTAAAAAATAAGCTGGAGAATCAGTTGAGAAAAGACATTCTAGGGTCAACTGTAGGTCTCCACACATGCCTGTACAGAAGAGTGTACCTGCACATTCATGGATATGCATATGAGATCATGGGCTTGCTGGTGAAAGCTACTATTGTTTTGCTGAGTGGGTATGATGTGCCTATCAAATTGCCTTCTGAATAACTATTTCATATCTAGTTACTATTGTTGTCAGCTTTGTTTGGTCAGAGAAGCTCCTCTTTGCAGTGGTCAGAGGTAACTGTATCAAAATGCTAGGAATAAGTGAATGCTGGATGCTCAGCTGTGAGACATCTATATCACTCCTAAAAGGTTCAGGGAGTATCACTATAGAAGGGGTGGGAAGAATGTAAGAGTCTGAGGAAGGTGGGGAAGAAGTTGTGTGGAACATGACTTAGGAAGTGGAATGGTCTTTGCACTCTTAACTCACAGAATCTGTGATTTTCTGCACAAGATTTCACCAACTTAGGCTCATCAGTAGTCTGCCATGAAATGGGCAGGGACTCATAGGGTCCCACCCTTGAGGATTTACATGTAGTTTCAGGTTGACAGGAGAGAGGGAGACAGTTTCTTCAGTAGTGTAGCCACTGGCAAGCTGCCTATGCTCTATTAAACAAATTTTAACCCATGTTCATGTTCCTGTAAGCAAACCTAGCTAAGCACATTAGGGGACACACACACACACACACACACACACACACACACACACACACACACACACACACACACCATGTACACACATATGCACATATACATATGCCCCCACTGTACACACAATAAGGAAATGTAAGTTCCTAGTTGGGAAGAGATCAGAGGAAGTTGGAAGAGGAACAAGAAAGTATAAAGGGGAAGCTAACTATGATCCAAAGATGGGGCTGGAGAGATGGCTCAGCAGTTAAGAGCACTGGCTGTTCTTCCAGAGGTCCTGAGTTCCCTGCAACCACATGGTAGTTCACAACCATATATAAAAGGATCTTATACCCTCTTCTGGTATGTAGGCATACATACAGACAGAGCTCTTGTACCTAAAAATATGTAAGTGATCCAAAGACATACATATGTAAAAATTTTATAACAGAACCCATTATTATGAACAATTAATATATCAATAACAAATATATAAATAAATATTTCTAAGAATTTATAAGTTTCATCTAAAATTTCAAATATGTTGACATGTTTGTTCATCATATTCTTTTTTTCACAACTGGGATCTTACTGGTTGAGGAGCATTGCACAGGCGTTTCAGTTCTTAACACACATGCCCAGATTCTGAAGTCATACATTGTGTTTGTCTGCACTAGTGATAGTCCAGCCCAAAACGTAAGACCTCACGTAATCTTCATTTCCACTGACTCACAATTTTATATCCTATGCAGTACATACTCAAAATTTCCATCTTTCCCAGCACATTATTACAACTATTAGGGAAATGGACCGCCATTACGGTTCTGACTGGGCAGGGATGGTTCTACTAGAAACACCAGACCAGATGTAACTGAAAATATTCTAGACACAAATGCACAACTGAAACTCTAAATTTAGTATGCTCTGTATTATAGGATATAAAACTAGTCCCCCGCCCCCTCCAGATGTTAGCTGACTCCCAAGACTGTCAAAACCTCTCCTGTCCCCACTGTCTTCTGCTGTATCAAAAAACAAACAACCAGTGGATGATTTCACCTCTTAATCATTTATGCTTTTAAAAAATGGGATAAGGTGCATCTGCCCCGCTCCCATTTAAAAATGTTTCTAGAGCTACTAAAAAACTCACATTTACAAAATAGTTGATAAAAATATTCCTCTGGATTGTACAAGAAGGGAGGTGTGGACCACTGACAGACATGACTTGGATTCTTTCTCTTCTTCAGAGGCTGAACTCTGGATTTCTGTCTCAGATCTATAGTTTGCTGCTCTGAGTTGCACATCTGTTTTGTTCTATCCATCCATTCTCTACTTTGGCTTCTACTTCTGCATGCTACTGTTTGGAAACTATCCCCAGCCAGAAGCCAGCATATCAGGAGCTTGGCTCATCTGTTTCCCTTTTCTACACAGGATACAGTTCTGTCCACAGTGCCTGGGGATACTCATTTCCTCCATTTTGTCAGTGCATGAATATTTACAATGATTTCATGTGCTGAAAAGTATACGAGGGTTCTTGTCAGAAGAATGAATTTTATTCCACAAAGTTTCCATTTAGAAAAATATCACTAAATTTCCCCCACCTCACTCTACCTTTTACCCAGACACAAAGAAGCATTTTAAGATGAAATTTTAATTTTTATTGTGTGTGTGCAGGTGCATACATGCCATGCCACATGTGTGGAGGACAGAAGACAACTTTCAGGAGTCAGTCCTCTCCTTCCACCCTGGGTTCCAGGGATTGAACCCAGGTCATTAGACTTGTGCAGCAAGCACTTTTACCAACTGAGCCATCTTCTCTGGAGATGTTTCAAGGCTGAGTTGGCACTTAGTGTTACATGGTAAAACTAGAGTATTAGGTATAAAAAATGAGTTTATGTATAAAAGGTTAAAGTTGATTTGAAAGCCAACAATGAAAAGAGGGTCAAAGGCAAAAATAATATTAGAAAATACAAAACACACAAGGTTATTCAGTTAGGTTTATTGATTTAGTCATTTGACTGCTCAGTCAAATGCTAGAGATATGCATACGACTTTAAAAATAGTATTTCTCTTCAAGGAATATAACGAAAATGTGAGAATTACATTCAAATAAGCAATTAAAAAAGCAATATGTAGTGAATTACAGTGGATTGACAGTCTATAAAACATCTGTATTCGTGCCTGCGTATGTGTGTGCGCGCACACGTGTGTGCATGTGTGTGTGTCCATGTCCTCTGGTTGTTTGCTTGTTTCCTTTGTTGAGATGGGTGCTCCCAGGGCCTAGAACATCCTGCATATGTGAGGTTGGCCAGCCAGTGATCAGGGGGACCTTCCACTTTCCACTTCCTCAGCATGCTTGGCTTGTTTTTGCATGGGTTCTGGGGACCCAGCTCAGATCCTTGTGATTGCAAGGCAAGAATTTTACATGCAGGGCTGTCTCTCTGCACCTGATCATCAGTGCTCTTCGGGAATGTCAACACTGTTAAAAACAAGAAAAGTCTGAAAACTGCCATAGTCAGGAGGAGCTAAAGGAAGCATGCTAACTGAATAGAGTGTTATATCTCAGTGTGACACTGAGGCTAAAAGAACAGTAGATGTCTGAATAAAGTATAAAATGTAGTTATGAATAATGTGATAGCCATTAGGCATGAACTGTAACAAAGAAACCACAGTGGTGTAATGTGTGGCCAATAGGAGAGCATAGGTATGGGGGTATATGGGAACCATCTATATCATCCTCTCAAATTCTCTTAAAATCTGACATTTCTCTAAAAGACACTCTATTCTTTAAAAATGAAAATACAGTGGTATTGATAAAATCCAAAGGAATGACTTCAGTAACAAACACCCCAGACATGTGTGTATGTGAGTGCTGGTGCTACTGTAAGTCTCACAAACACCATCTAAAATTGTATTTCAGCATGGATAGCGACGGGTCAATGACAGTAGACTGGGATGAATGGAGAGACTACTTCTTCCTCCACCCTGCAAAAAATATCAGTGAAATTCTTCGTTTCTGGAAGCATTCCACTGTAAGACTACTCTGCATTTCACTGTTTTTATTTTTATTTACATGTTGTAGTTGTAACTATCATTACATAATCTCCATTTTAGTTTCAATGGCTAAAGGTATATTATTTACTTTTATCAATATTCTATTTTTAGTAAGGGAAGACAGTATTTTATGTGAAAACATAGAAACCACAATTTGTTTATTAAAACCTGCATCTTACATAGGTGCCTACTATGTAAGGTGTTAATTGTTATGTGTAGTTGCATTGTTCAAGAAAAGTGGAAATACATGTTTTCTTTCTTTCTTTTTTTTACATAGATATTATATGCTTGACTGGGTCTTTTGGCATTGGGAATATAAAATTACATATCAAGGTTTCAGAATTTAGAGTAAAAAAAGGAACAAACGTACAAGCTATGTGCTCCTTTAAGTCTCATAAGCACCTGACCTGAAGTTGTAAGGACTAAAGAAAATACTGTATTTAAAGACTTTTAAATTCTTCAGATGTAAGGTGGGGGAGCTAAAATACTGAAATCACAACACACACTTCTCATCAGTGTCTGTCTTCCCTCCACAGTCAGTCCACAAGAAGAAAAGACCATTAGCTCTAGAGTCAGAATGTGAATGTTTGAACCCACACTTCATACCCACTTACTATATAATCCACTCTGTGCCTCAGTTTCTTCCATTAGATAGTTCAGAGTTCAGTGTGTTTAAAACAAGCTAAGAATGTGTGTATCCAATAAATACTTGTCATTTTAGGCACTTGGTTTCATCTGTGTTCCTGAATGTTTGAACATGGGAGGAACATGTAATATCATTTCTCATTTGGTTTTGAGTTATACAGTATTTTGATAACACATCTGTTTTCTTACTTTTTGACTGGTTCTTCCATGTCCACTTAATTTATCACCTGTAACTACTACAAAGGATGTATTACTACATCTTTTATTGGGAATAGATTTTTTTTCATACAATTTATTCTGACTATAGTTTCCATTTTGCTAACTCCTCCCAGTTCTATTGCGGTTTAATAAGGATCAGGATAAACAATTAGGCTGAACAGATGTTTATCCAGGGAGAAATAACTCACAACATAGACAGGTGAACACCAACAGGTTCCTGCTTCCAAGAATTCCTCTGGAAGTCCTTCTGTCCTCATGCAGTTTGCAAGAGAGCACTCTCCCGAGCGCCTCCTCCGACCCCAGGTCACTTCCACCCCTGGTTCCACCCCCAATGGGTGTGGTCAGTGCCACAGAAGGAGACAAAGTGAATATCCCACTACACAGTTTCTTCCCACTCCCTTTTCCCTAGATCCATACACTTTCTGTCTCTCCTTAGAAAATGAGCATATAAAGAATAATAATCCGATAAAACAAAAACAAATCAGAATGGGGATAAGCAAACAGAAAAAAAAAAAAAAAGAGCTAAAGAAAAAGCATGCGTTCTTTGTGTATTTTGGAGATCAGCCCTCTGTCGCATGTGGGGTTGGTGAAGATCTTTTCCTATTCTGTAGGCTGCAGTTTTGTCTTAATGGAAAGTGTCCTTGGTCTTCCAGAAGCTTTTCAGTTTCAGGAGTTCCCATTAATTAATTGTTGATCTCAGTGTCTGTGCTGCATCTCAAGAAACTAGACATCAAAATACCAAATAATTCAATTAAAAATGGGGTACAGATTTAAACAGATAATTCTCAACAGAAGAATCTGAAGTGGCCAAAATACACTTGAAGAAGTGTTCAACATCTATAGTCATCAGGGAAATGCAAATCAATGTTGGAGAGTATGTGGAGAAAGGGGAATGTAAGGAGTAGGTTTTTCCTGCCGGCCTGGACCCACCGTGGCGCCAGCCCCAAATAACACACGGAGACCCTGTATTAGGTATAATGCTGTTGGCCAGGTACTAGTTTCTTATCGGCTAGCTCTGTCTTAAGTATTAAGCCATTTCTGTTAATCTAAGTACTTCCACGTGGTCTTATCTTACCAGAGAGAGGCCACCGGCGTTCTGCTCTCTCCATCTTCCATCTTGACTCCTCCTTACTAGTTCCTCTTTCCTCCTTGTCTCCTAATCCTATCTTGCTTTCCTATTGGCCAACAGTGCTTTATTCATTAACCAGTATGAGAAACATATTTACAGAATAACATCTCCCATAAGGGAACACTCCTCCACTGCTGATAGGAGTGCAAACTTGTACAGCCACTTTGGAAATCAGTATGTTGGTTTCTCAGAAAATAGGGACTCAATTTATCTCAAGACCTAGCTATAGCAATCTTGGGCTTATACCTAAAAGATGCTCAATAAAACCACAAGAACACATGCTCAACTATGCTCATAGCAGCATTATTCATAATATCTAGAACCTAGAAACAACCTAGATGCCCCTCAACCGAAGAATGGATAAGGAAAATGTGGTACATTTACACAATGAAGTATTACCCAGCTGTAAAAAGCAATGTCTCATGAAATTTGCAAGCAAATGGATGGAACTAGAATGAAGTCAGTCTGAGTGAGGTAACCTAGAAAGACCCAGAAAGACAAACATGATATATAATCACTCTTAAGTGGATACTAAGAGTAAAGTACAGGATAACCAACCTACAATCCACAGCCCCAGAGAGGACAGATGACAAAGAGGTTGTCACATGCAAAATAAATTCCACCCTTTCCACAGCCTCTACTCCTGACTTGTGCCAGCATCAACTTTAAAGCCCAAGACAAAAGCATTATCTCAACATCACCCAAACTGGGTGTGGGCACGATTGAGAAGAGCTCACCCTGCTACAAGTTCCCAGACATCACTCAAAGGCTAAATGTGTAATTGGCTTACACATTGCTTAAAACTAGAGAGATTCCATAAATAAACCATGGCCTTTTGGTTTCTCTGGAAACTTGAGAAGAACATATAGCTCCAATATACATTCCTACATAAGAACAACTGAATAAAACTAACTAAGATGAAGTGACAGATGTGTCCATTTCCATGGACTTTCTCTTGATACCCAGATGAAATTTCTTGCCTGACCCCCAAAGGCATTTGAATTTATGGTCTGTGGTTTATTATTTTAATTCTTCCTTTTTTTCCCTCTCTTTCAGTCATCTCTTACTTTCATTTCCTTTTCTAATTAGCTGGTCTGTGACATCAGGTCATCTTTATACAGATCAACTAATTTTGTACATGGAATAAAACAGTATAAACTCAAAACTTGAGATAAGTACTTTGTTGTTTACAACCAACCTAGCAAAACAGTGGCCATTTCAAAGTCTTGAACCCAACATAACTTTCTTTTTTTCTAATTAGTAGTTATTTAAACTGTTTAGAAAGATGTTAAATCCAGTGTAAGGATGTATGCACACACTATGGTGTGTATATGGATGATGAAAACTGGCTGGAGTCAGTTTTCTCTTTACACTACATATGTTCCGGAAAAAGAACTCAGGTTGTCAAACTTGCTGGCCATCATCTTTTTCTGCAGACCTTTGCTATTTTATTTTGTTTTTCTTGATAAATTTTTAATTTAAGTTTGAAACAAGCTTGTTTTACATGTCAATCCCAGTTCCTCCACCCTCCCATCCTCCCCTGTTACCCCCCCACACCCCCATCCCATCCCCTTCCTGCTCCCCAGGGAGGGTGAGGCCTTCCATGGGGGATCTTCAAAGTGTGTCACATCATTTGGAGCAAGACCTAGGCCTGTCCCCATGTGTTTAGGCTGAGGGAGAATCCATCTGTCTACAAATGGATTCAGGAGTTCAGCTCAGTGTTTAGCTGTGAGTGTCTGCTTCTGTTTTCATCAGTAACTGGATGAGGGCTCCAGGATGGCATATAAGGTAGTCATCAATCTCATTATCAGGGAAGGGCATTAAGGTAGCCTCTCCACTATTGCTTAGATTGTTAGTTGGGGTCATCCTTGTAGGTCTCTGGGCATTTCCCTCGTGCCAGATTTCTCTTAAAGCCTATAATGGCCCCCTCTATTAAGACTATACTTTCAGGGATCATTTCTATAGTTGGTTATTTTTTTAAACATTCCTTTCCATGCCTACATATAATCTTGTGGTTCTTAAAATAGATTATATCTTCAAGCTCACCATTTTTTGTTGTCTAGCCTTCCTTTGGGTAATCCCTACTTATATAGAAAGATAGTATAATGTGATGGCCTCTGAGGTCATGATTTCTGGATTCAAACTGGGGCTTTGGGGCTTCTAAGTTACTTTAACTGTAAGGTATTCTTTTCTTTCATTTCACATTTATAATTTTTATTTTTAAAATACTACTTTATTTTATTCGTTCTTTGATATTTTGTGCAATGTGTTTTGATCATATTTATCCCTCACCCAAGTTCTCCCAAAATGACTCTACTTTCCCTGCCTACCTACCTTTGTCTCCACTTTCTTAACTCATCAAATCTAATTTGTGTATTCAGCGTTTCTACAGGATTTTCTCCGGACACTTATTTGTCACCTTTGTTGTTGTAGTTACTGCTCTGTATTGTACTTGACTGTATCTTTTCCTATGAATCTTATTCTTGAGATAATAATAACAGTTCTGTAAATGCTAGAGGCAGAAACCAACTTCTCCATGACTATCACTAATACAAAGTCCAGGGCCTGGCATGTTGATGTTTACTTCAACAATGTTTATTGAGCCTATTTTTCTTCAGGAGCTAAGATCTAGGTTTTCAATAGTACACAAGGGAGACCAGGGTGTTGGCCTTATTGGGCTTTCTTTGTGAAAGAGGAGCCAAACAATCAATAGAAATAAACTAATCGAGCCATTGCAGTACATTGAGCTCCATAGAGACAGCGCCGGGGCAAGCGCGAGCCGGACGGGCACTGGGCGACTCTGTGCCTCGCGGACGAAAATCAATTGAACATGGGCAAAGGAGATCCTAAAAAGCCGAGAGGCAAAATGTCCTCATATGCATTCTTTGTGCAAACTTGCCGGGAGGAACACAAGAAGAAGCATCCGGATGCTTCTGTCAACTTCTCAGAGTTCTCCAAGAAATGCTCAGAAAGGTGGAAGACCATGTCTGCTAAAGAAAAGGGGAAATTTGAAGACATGGCAAAGGCGGACAAGGCTCGTTATGAAAGAGAAATGAAAACCTACATCCCCCCGCAAAGGGGAGACCAAAAAAAAAGTTCAAGGACCCCAATGCACCCAAGAGGCCTCCTTCGGCCTTCTTCTTGTTCTGTTCTGAGTATCGCCCAAAAATCAAAGGAGAACACCCAGGCTTATCCATTGGTGATGTTGCAAAGAAACTGGGAGAGATGTGGAACAACACTGCTGCAGATGACAAGCAGCCCTATGAAAAGAAGGCTGCCAAGCTGAAGGAGAAGTATGAAAAGGATATTGCTGCGTACAGAGCTAAAGGGAAACCCGATGCAGTGAAAAAGGGGGTGGTCAAGGCAGAAAAGAGCAAGAAAAAGAAGGAAGAGGAAGATGATGAGGAGGATGAAGAGGATGAGGAAGAGGAGGAAGAAGAGGAAGACGAAGATGAAGAAGAAGATGATGATGATGAATAAGTTGGTTCTAGCGCAGTTTTGTTTTTGTTTTTGTGTTTTTTTTTTTTTGTTCTATAAAGCATTTAACCCCCCTGTACACAACTCACTCCTTTTAAAGAAAAAAAAAATTGAAATGTAAGGCTGTGTAAGATTTGTTTTTAAACTGTACAGTGTCTTTTTTTGTATAGTTAACACACTACCGAATGTGTCTTTAGATAGCCCTGTCCTGGTGGTATTTTCAATAGCCACTAATCTTGCCTGGTACAGTCTGGGGGTTGTAAATTGGCATGGAAATTTAAAGCAGGTTCTTGGTGCACAGCACAAATTAGTTATATATGGGACGGTAGTTTTTTTTGGTTTTCTTTTTTTTTTTTTCTTTTTTTTTGTTTTGGGTTTTTTTTTTTTTCCATCTTCAGTTGTCTCTGATGCAGCTTATACGAAGATAATTGTTCTGTTAACTGAATACCACTCTGTAATTGCAAAAAAATTGCAGCTGTTTTGTTGACATTCTGAATGCTTCTAAGTAAATACAATTTTTTTTATTAAAAAAAAAAAAGAAATAAACTAATCTATCAAGATTGTGCTGTATTAGACAGGAAGCGGTTGAGTCAAGAAGAAATCTTTGGGTTCAGAGGGAAGATAATTTGAGAAGGTTTCTAAAAGGGTATTAGCAAAATGAATAAATGGAAGCGAGGAGCTAAGAATGGCAGTAATATATCTATTACATCGAAGGCAATAGAATCTAAGTTTTCTTTCTCTTTTTTTATTATTTATTTAATTTTATATAACAAAGTCCAATTAAATGAAAACAAACATTTATACACAATATTTGGGAATTTGGGCGTTGTTCTTTCCAAACTACTTCCTGCTGGTAAGGGGCGCTGTCATGGGGGATAGAATCTAAGTTTTCAAGTCTAGTTTGGCACTCTTCCCTGAAACATGGTGCTTTAACACTTAAAAATAAGATTCCCAAATATTAACTCATTGTGATAGAGAAAACTGATCAACAAAAGATCACTGAGAAAAGTAAGTCAGAGCATGTCAGATGCTGTCCTTGCCTCCTGCCTTTGGAATAAAATGTGAAAGTTTATTCAGTGTTTATCCCTCACCTAGTGTTGTGACAGACACTGTGTAAGTGGCGTGCCTCCTTGCCCTCAGGGTTACATTGTTTTTGAGGAAGAGATTATTTAAATGGTTTGGGAATTATTTTAAATTAATAGCTAATGTAATGAAAATTTTATTTAAAATCTATTATTCAATGTGTTATTTAAAATCAGTTGAGTATAAGCACTGAGTACTAAGAAAATTATCAATCTTCAGTACAAGGAGGTGATTTAAAAAGAAAATGTTGAAGTTCTCTTTCTGTATGAAAAGGTTTTCTTGATCTTTGTAGAAAGTTATACTTTTATTTCTCACGAGTTTACACTTCACTACCTAATTATTTTTTTTTTAAATTTATCAGATAATTGATATAGGAGAGAGTATATCTATTCCAGATGAATTTACAGAACAAGAAAAGAAGTCTGGGCAATGGTGGAAACGGTTAGTAACAGCGGGAATAGCGAGTGCGATCGCACGGACATGCACGGCACCTCTGGACCGCTTGAAAGTCATGATGCAGGTAGTCTTTGTGTTACTTGAAGGAACACGGAGAGTACTTAATGATTAAGATGCTGATTTTTGAATGGTAGATTTCATAGCACTCATTGAAATTTTATGCTTTCTTGAAAATTTAAATTATTTTCTCTTTACTATTAAAATACATCTTCATTTTCTTCAAGAGGCTCCTATGGCATTTGGATTGATTAGTCTTGAATGTCAGTTTCATTGGACTAAAACGAGCATAAGAGATTAACAAAATACTTGCCTGAGTGTGTCTATCAGGGCATTTGCAGGAGGATTAACTAAGGAAAAGGAATCACCGTGAAGGTGGGCAGCACCATCGCATAGGCTGGGCCTTGGGAAGAGAAGGAAAGGAGAGCTAGCTGGCCAAGCAGACATTCACCTTCTCTGTTCCCTGCCACACAAGGCAACTCCACTGCCTTGCTGCCACGAATGACACCTCTGAAGATGGGAGGCAAACAAGGTCTTTTCCTGTGTGCTGGCTGCTCTCTCACAGCATGAAAACGCTACCTAATACAATGCTCCAATTAATTTTAACTTAAAATAATAATAGATCCACTCTATTAGACTGTTTCTCAGAAGCATAACTAATCCACCCAATAATAACTAAATTCATAATTACAATTCAATACTTGCTAAGTACTTTTGCTATAAGAATATAAAGATCAAGAAACAATATAGAGAATTTAAATTTCTAATTAAAATGATATATTTGGGTGTTTTATTATCCTTTATTGTTTTGATGATATTGGTAGCCTTTGGTGATGAATTATGGATAGTTATTATAGTATACCATGGTAATAGTGTAAAATTGTAATGTTACCTAATTAACTTTGTAATTTATCTGTAATTATTCTTCATTCTCTCCACATCTGTGATTCTGCTTAAATATTAAATTTATATGCCATTTTTAGAAAATACAGTGTGTTGGTTTTTGGATTAAGGGAGCTTCATTTATTCATTCTGTACCTATTTAGCAGAGTATGTTATGTATTATGTCCTTAATGGGTACTAGGTACTGTACCAAGTTAGACACACTTTTCTTTTAAAATTTGTTTTTTGGTTTTTTGAGACAGGGTTTCTCTGTATTGCTTTGGAGCCTGTCCTGGAACTCGCTCTGTAGACCAGGTTGACCTCTGAACTCACAGAGATCTGCCTGCCTTTGCCTCCCAAGTGCTGGGATTACAGGTGTGCACCACCAGCGCCTGGTCTAGACACACTTTTTAAATGAGAGGAATTATAATATATCAGGAAAAATAGATGGTTAGATAATAAATATTGAAATGCCATTATATAACTGGATAGAAAAACACACTCGTACCATGGGAATGCCATGGAAGAATAGACACTATTTTATTTCTCCTTATTACTTCTCATATAGATATATAATAATATCTTGGTTAATTTATCCAATAGAAATAAAGACTCTAGTTTGATCATCTAAATATAGGGAATATACTCAAGTATATGGTAATAGAACAACTAACCCATTTCCCTACTATGTGTCTGATTCCATGTATAACACACATTCTATTCAGCCAGGAAGCTGAATTTGGACAATTGTTAGGAAAAGACTGAGTTGAAAATGTTTTGTTACATATTAAAGTAGAAAACCCAGTTTCCCCAGTACCTGTGCCTGCAAAATTATATGAAAAGGAAGAAAGATATGGACATGTACAGTGCTACATAGACGAGACATGGTTGTGAGGTGACAGAGATGGGAATAGGGCCAAGAGGGAAAATTAATTAGAAAATTATCTTGTGTGCTTATTACTTGTTAGGTGCTAGAAATGCGATGATGAAAGAGTATAGTCCTTATTTTCCAGAACATTACAGACATAAAATCAGTAATGATGATATAATATTAAAAATAGTAGGTGCTACTTTAGAGGTGTTGCTTCATACAACACGGGTACACCAAGATAGGGATGATTAGTTCTCTAAGGGCTACACAGGGGTCACTGGATTAGGGAGAATAAAAAAGCATGCAGCAATATCTGCAGTGAAACAGTGTTTGTGGGACATGATAGCGCTGCTGTACACATGGGTTCACAGCAGCTGTGACTGCATGCACAAGACTTGTGTAAGATCAAGCCAGCTAAAACCATAGCATGGGTGATGGCATGTGTGTGTGTGTGTGTGTGTGTGTGTGTGTGTGTGTGTGTGTGTGTCTCCTTATTGAAATCCTACCTCTGAGGAACAATTGGCAATTGATGGGAGAGTCAATTTTCTCCAAGAATGTGGCCCCTCAGAACTGTGCTTCAGGAGGTGCTCCTAGACCCTGCCCATACATGCAGCATCAAGTGGATTTAGTGGATTAAGAAGCAGATGAAGTTGAGAGGGAAAAGCGGTGGAGGGGATGGGAAGGAGGTGAAGGGGGTGAAATGGGCATAGATATGATCAAAACACATTATGCATGTATGGAATTATTAAACAAATCTCAAACTAAAAATATGGGGCAAAATGTAAAAAGGGAAAGAATAAAGCAGACATTCTAGGAAAAGGATGTGAAAAAGGAAAAGAAAATATAGAAAAATAGAGAATAAGGAGGGATAGTAAGAAATGAATTAAAGCCAGGTGTAATGATACATGCCTGAAATCACAGCACTTAGGAAATGGAGGCAGGAGAATAAGGAGTCTAAGGTCATCCCCAGTTACACAGCAAATTTCAGGTCAGACATTGTCTGTCTGTCTGTCTCCCTCCCCCTCACACACACACATATACACACATTTTAAAACAATAAAATGACAGTAAAACACACACACACACACACACACACACACACACACACAAAAAAAAAAAAAAAACACAGGAAAGCATGGAGGCAGACATGAACTGCCCTGTAATTCCTACAGCTAGCCCCCCTTTGTTAGGAATTCAGTAACAAAGTCCCACAGCCTGGCATAACATCAGAAATGTTCTATTGTAGTTCTGGAGAACCAATCAAGTGGTCAGCAGGGCTGGCTGCTCCCAGGGTGCTGAGGGTGCCTCTTCTTGACTTGGATAAGGCTATCTTCCCCATCAGTTCATGTTGCCTTCCTTCTTGGTGTGCTATGTCTCTATGTCCACATTTTCCTTTTATAAGAATAAAGGTCATATTAGATCAGCTTGATTTTTATCTGCAAAGGCCCCATCCAAATAGGACCACATCCTGAGGGAATAGGAGTTAGGACTTCAACATATTTGAGAGCTACAGTCCAATCCACAATACCCTGAAGCCTCAATATATGTATGCACTGTTGAAACTTTGATGTATTTTCATCCAATTCTGATTTTAATACATATTTCAATGTGCTCTTTAATAATCTCAGGTTATTTTTGATAGCAACCACACACTTTGTTTATAATGAAGATCTCCAACAATTGAATTAGAATTCTGTCTTCCATAAGTTGTTTTTATTTTTCTTTAATGTTTTAGATTACAGTAGTCCCTGCCTCTGGGGGAAAATTTCCCATTGGTTACCCGACACTGTAAATGGTACTAAACCCTAGAATACTGTATTTTATCCTATACATGCCTACATACATATGATAAAGTTTAGTTTATAAATTGAGCATAAGGAGAGGTTACCAACATTAATACTAAAGTATAACAATCATAGTAATGTACCCGGATACAAGTTACATGATACTCATCCTCTCCTAAAGGAAGCATGTATGTTGCCTCTGGTGTGTGCACATTGCAAACATCATCACTGCTGAGCTTTGGGGCCATAATGAAGTAAAAGAAAGGATACTTGAACATATGCACTGAGGTAGCACTGTAGTAGTAGATCTAATAATGGAGATAGCTCCTAACTGACTCTTGGGTAGGTAGAATATACCACATGGATACACTGCAAAGACATGACTCACAGCCCTGGAAGGCAAGGTGGAATGAGAGTGTGGGTGATTTCATCACCTGTTCAGAACACCAATTTAAAGCAATTTAAAGCACACGAAGTGTTTATTTCTATGACTTTACTCTATTTGAAGCATGGGATGCAAAACGATGGATAGAGGGAAGACACTGTATTTTGATGTGTAATTGGGGACAAGAAAAATACTAACATTCATTTTATGTAACTGAAGGAAACTTAAGCTGCTGTTGAAAGGTATGAAGTATATAGGTTTAATTATTTTTATCATGCAGTGAAATACATTTATATTACCAGCAAAATAAATTTAAATAAATTTGCCACTTATTTCTAGGTTCGTAGATCAAAAACAAGTAAAATGGGATTGGTTAATGAGTTCAAGCAGATGGTAAAAGAAGGAGGATTTTTTTCTCTTTGGCGAGGAAATGGTGTGAATGTTTTTAAAATTGCACCAGAGACAGTACTCAAGATCGGGGCCTATGAACAGGTAATGTGTTATTGACTATAGGGTTTTAAATTTAATTTTTTAAAGTTTAGACTTTTGTGAAGTAGAACACAAATTTATGTAAGCAATAGTTGTAAGTGTAAATAGTACTGATTCTTTTTATTTTCATTGGGTTACTTTCTTGCTTTTTATTATTACAATGAGTGCTTTTATAGGTTACATTGTGTTATCATGGCAGGTCTGTGACTAGTTAGTTCTTTTAAGTTTATTGTCACAGCATAAGAGATATTCACAAAAGAGTTCATAGTTTTTTCTTAGAACAGTTTGGATATTTCCCAGGGATTTCAGTCCATTTGTTAATGAATCAAGAGTTAACCTTCTTATTTAGTGAAGACAAAGTTGAGAAATATGCACCAAATTTCAAAATTTTTCAGTCTGATTTAGGATTTTGCTTTTTCTTAAATAATTTCTTTGAGACAGGACAAATGTCAGTTTTCAAATATTGCAATTATTTGGGTTTCATAAGAATCTAAGGATGATCTATATGCTTCTCAATTTTTTCCTCTTTATTGTAAATTTTAGAACAATTCTATCCTCTTTAAGTAAATATTTATCTATGGGATTATAGTATTTCTTTTGTAGGGCCTTTATCACATGGTCACGGAGCCTTAATATTTTATAAAAATATAAAAGATTTATGATGTCCTTTCTTAGATTTAGATGGTTGAAAAACAAGTAGATAGTGAGTAGGATACTGAACTCTGAAATGCATTTGCTGATTCATCAACAAAATTGTTTTTATTATCTAGTGTAGATCTCATGTGCTAAAGACTGTTTTTTTTAATTACTTTTCTTTTTTTAACTTTGATTTACTTTTATTTGACTTTTATTACTTTCCTTATTTAAGTTTTTCATTTTACATACCAACCCCAGTTCCCTTCCCTCTCCTTCTCCCATCCCCCTTTCTCCTATCCTACCCTCATCTACTCCTCAGAGGGGGTAAGAAATCCCATGGGAAGTCAGCAAAGGCTGGCATATCAAAGCTGAGCAAGGTATCCCACCATAGGGAATGGGCTCCAAAAAGTTAGTTCATGCACCCGGGATAAGTCCTGGTCCCATTGCCAGGGTCCCCCTAAAGAGATAAAGCCATACAACTGTTACCTACATTCAGTGGGCCTAGTTTGGTCCCATGTAGGTTCCCCAGCAGATAGTTCAGAGTCCCTGAGGTCCCACTAGCTTGAGAAAACAGGATATATATACATACACACACTCTCTCTGCCCTTCCAGATCCCCATTCTGTCAAAAGTCCATGTTGAAATTCAGGTATGGTTCATCTAAATGAAAATACCAATTTAAGACAAAAATACTGTGCTGCAAACATATAAAAAAGTCACATCTGATATGTGTTTATGACTGTTACTGGGAATGTCTATACTGTTATTTATTGTCATTTATGAAGAAAAATAATCTAGACTCTGTCATCAGCATTCCACCATCACTACTTAAGGCACATGCAGTGACATAGAGGACACTCCAGGTAGCAGTGTTACTAACCAAAACTTTGACTTCAAATGTCTAGTCTGCAGAGAAGCAGTGAAGGGCATCCTTTCCCTATTTTGTGCAACTTCTGATGAGTGACCCATAATAGCCTACTTGACACTCCCCCTCTTTAGGCCTGATCCTGCTTGCTGCTGGCCTGTCCAGGGACACTTTGCCTTGTAGAGATAACAAGAATGAAGGGAACGCCACCAGAAGGTGTGAAAAACACTGACATTCCTGTTCTGTTGTACCTAAAGTCCTGTCTAGAAGCCCTGTCCTTCCCCTAGTTAACCTGCATCCTTCTCCAGGGTTTCTCTGAGGACCACCTTTCTCTTGTCTTGCAGTAGAGAACTTCATTGGAGGATGAGTATTGAGTGAGGCTAGGTCAAGTGAGTTGCAGCAATTCTCTAGAGACTGTATTTTACAGTTTGAACTCTGTGTGAAGTCCTTATTCCAACATTAAGCCTTCTATAATTTCTGGACATCCACCATTGGCCACTTGACAATATACTGCTTTGACAGAAAGAATCTTTTAATTATACCTTAACAAAACGCGCTTTTCCTGTTCAATGTTGTTCACATTTTCTCTTATATTTTTTCTCCTTCTTATGGAAATTCTTTCTAGGATTTATATCTTGCATTTCCATTTCCAATATGAAAGCTACTTTAGCATCTTCTCTTCCTGCCCTAGTCTGCCAGTTGCTTTTACCACTTAATATAAGTTAGAGTTAGGTTTAGAGGTATGTCATAGAAATCCTCACACAAGTTAAGAAGGAAATTCATCACTTACACATAGAAATCTGAGGAAAGGCAGTTTACAGAGAGTGCAAAGATGCCCTATAGGCAAAAAGAAATTCACTCACTTCTGGCTCACTGTCTTCTGTGTTGTAGTTCCTTTTGTCATGAGTCTGAGATAGAGCTCCAGCAATCACATCTAACTTCTAGGCAATAACTAAGGAAGGGATCAAATATGGATACATCCTTCTCATCTAGGACACTTTCCAAAAGAATGCAGAATACTTATGCTTTCATGCCATTAGCTTAAACTTAGACAAACAAGTAGGTCTAGCTGGAAAGGAATTTAGGGCTGTAGTCTTTAGTTGAACCAAATAAAGGATGAAGGGGAGGATGTATATTAGGATACAACTATCAGTCACTGTCAATCAGATTTTGTCTTTTCCTTTATGAATGATCTGTTTTAAAATATTTATTCAGGAAAAACTTCTTTAGAATAGGGTGTACAAGTGCCTGTTCATTACTGAGTGCTAGTGAATGAACTGTACAGTGTCATTCTGTGAATGTGAAAACACAGGCAAGTAAAGATGCACTTTAACTTACTTGTTACTGAGAAAGACAGGAAGACCTTATGACAACCTTGCAAAGAACTATGCATGACATAGACACATAGAACACTAAGCAAATGTGCAGCCATGTCCTAATCATGCTGGAAAATGGTTGAGAAATGTCTAAATAAGATATTACAAAGCGTAGGCTATAGCAAAATCCGCAAGTTCTCTCTCCCAGGTTCAGTAAATGTACTAGAGAGGTCACAGGAGTCAGCACGTTACTTCAGTCCTCATGCCTATGATTGTTACAACAAAAACACCCAAAGCAAATTTGGCAAGAATAATAGACTGGGTAACTTATAAAGAAAAGCAATTGGCCCTGAAGTCCAAGGTCAAGGGGATGCTAGCCCTCTGGAAACTTCCAGGCTGCATAAATTTGTGTAGTCTCTCTGATTAGAAACTGTAATACTATGTTGAGCAGACATGATGAGAATGGGTGTTTTTGTCTTGTCTTGGATCTTGGAGGGGAAGCTTTTACTTTCCCCCATTGATTATGAGGTTTGTCTCAGTCTGTCTATATCCATTTTATGCTCCTATAACAAGTGTAGACACTGGATAACTTATAAAGAAAAGACATTTCTTTCTATCTAACACTTTCAGAGGCTGTGAAGTTCAAGGCTATTAATCCTTTGAGAGCCTTAAGATCCATAATCCTAAAGTGGAAGATGGGAGGTAAAAGAATGTGAAAGAGAAAGAGGCAAGAAGCTTCTTGACAGCTTGCTTTGGTAATCTCTGACCCACTCCCTGATAATTAGGTTATCACTTCTTATAGGCCCTGCCTTATATTTATGTATTACAGTGGCATGATGGTTAGTTTTAGGGCAACTTGACACAACTTAGGATCATCTGGTAAGAGTGTCTCAATGAGAGACTATCTAGACTCTGTAGGGGTTTGTTTTGATTACCTTAGCCATCAGTGTGGGAAGACTCAGCCTGAAAACGTGGTGACACTATTTAAGAGTAGAGAAAGCTAACCAAGTACTAAGCACGAATGCATTTTTTTCTCTCTTTCTGATCTTTATTGTGGATGTTACTGGTCGCTTCAAGCTCCCGCTGTTTTGACTTCCCTGCCATGATGGACTGTACCCTGAAACCGTGAGCTGAAATAAACTTTCTCCATTCGGTTGCTTCTTATCACAGCAATAGAAATTAGACTAGAACAAATGGCAATTAAATTCCAACATGAGTGGAGTGGGGGCCACTCAAGCCACAGGGTTAGCTGAGGGCTTTTTCTGCTTGGCCTTTATTGAATGGAGAAAGGCTTCTCTTATACTATTTGAAAAAAAAAATTCCCGGAGTGTTAATCATGAATGAATGCAACCGTGTTCAGTGCTTTTTATGTCTATTTAGATGATATGCATTTTCCTTTTATTTAAGTGTTATACTACATTGGTATATGTGAGTATACTAAACCTTTATCTTTGATAAATACCACTTCATCCTAGTAACTGATCCTTTAAGGGTGCTCTTAAGTTTGGTTTGCTAGGATTTTACTGAGAGTTTTTTCATTCACATCCATTTAGGATACTGGCCTCTTGTTTTATTATGTGTTTGGCTTGGAATTAGTGTGATGCTGGCTCCTAAAGTGAATTTAGGAGTATTCTTTTCATTATTTTTTTTAAGAGTGGAGAGAGAATGTCATCAGTTATTTAAATCAATGCTATTTCACCATTGGTTTTCTTTTGTGTAGAGATTTTTGATTGGTGGTATTGCCTCTTGTTTTGTTATTGTTCTGTTTGGGATTTCTGTTTCTTCTTATTTCAAGTAGTGATTTTATTTTTGGGGAAAAGGTTATATAGTTTATTGGCACATAATTCTTCGTACTAGTATCTTATAATTATTTTTTACTTCTGTTATACCCACTGTAATATTCCCTTTTCATTTCTAAATTTAGTTTTTAAAAGGCTTGTACCATCCTCTTCACATTTAAAAACTTTGAGATGAAATCTTTCTATGCTTTGAAGGCTTTCTCAGCCTCCAGGTAGCTGAGACTATAGGCATGTACCACTATATTCAGCTACATGGCTCCTTTTATAATGACACTAATCCCTTAGCAACTTTTCCTTTTCTGCAGTCAGTAGATTTTCTCAATCTTTCCATTCTGCTTACCATCCCCTACCCCATACCAGTTCTTATGGCATATTTGGCTAAAAGTGGCCATTGCATGCTGCAGCCTGACTGCTACACTTCTTTGAAATTTTCTCTGCCAAGTAAAGTATTCTGTCAGTTTTAAAGTCTGAACTGCAAAATCCCAGGGCACAAACAACATGCATGTAAGGAGTACGGGTTTTTCCACCCGCCGCCTGGTCTTGTCCTGCTGCCGCGCCAGCCCCAATTAACACACAGAGACTCTGTATTTGATATTATGCTGTTGGCCAGGTGCTAGTTTCTTATCGGCTAGCTCTGTCTTAATTATTAACCCATTTCTATGTATTTCCACGTGGTCTTACCGAGAGCGGAGGAATGGCAGTTCTGTTCTCTCCAGGCTCTCCATCCTGACTCCTCCTTACTACTTCCTATTTCCTCCTTGTCTCCTAGTCCCTCCTATCTTCCTTTCCTATTGGCCAACAGTGCTTTATTATTAACCAGTATGAGAAACATATATACATAATGGCATCTCCCATCACATGCATCCTAATATTTTTACATGTGTATGCCAGCCTGTGTGTGCTGTGTGCATGCCTACTGCCTGCAGAGGTCAGGAGAGTGCAAGATTCCCTGGAAGTTAAGAATGGTTGTAAGTCCCCAAATGGGTGCTGGGAACTGAACCCAGGTCTTCTCCAAGAACAGAAACCACTGAACCATCTATCCAATTCCACCCTAATTCTTGTGTCTGATTAACAAGGGTGGCCTGTGGGCTAATTCCCAAGAGTCTTCAGTAGCTTCACTGCCCTAGTCTTTCTTACTATACTTCTTGTAACTCAAGAGGCTGCTCTGTTGTTTCTAGTTATCTAGTCACCGAACACACACACTGTCATTATGTGTATAGCAGGGTACTGGAAAGAGATAAAAACACAACTCCTGATTTTGCTATTTGCAAGATCCATATAACACATCCATGTGTAGACTTAAGTAATTTAACATAGCTATTGAATTATTCCTTAGAAAAATAAAAGAAAAAACTGAATAGAGAGGTTTAACTTATCTATTACATAGAAACTAAAATTTAGCATTGTACTAGGTTGTGCTAGTATTCAGCACCTGATATATATTTTAATATAATTTTACACTTTTAGTTACTGTTATAAAACTTGAAAGGCACGTATTTCAGTAATACTATACATATTTTTATTTATACAGTATAAGAAATTTCTTAGTTTTGATGATGCTAATTTAGGAGTTCTTCAACGATTTATAGCTGGTTCCATGGCTGGTGCAACTTCCCAAACCTGTATCTATCCCATGGAGGTATGTATTATTATAACATTTTAATTAAAATCATGCTTTTAATGCAACTAACAATCAGAAGTGGTTTCCAGATTATTGTTACAATAACTTTGCAAGATTTGAATCTTGTATAAAGTGTCAATCTCAATACCCTCTGTTATTGTTTAAGACAAGTGATGTTGTAGATAGATGAAGAAAATATATTTATTTCTTTAATCACTTGGTAGGCAAATATGGATTGTATGTATGCTAAGCTTAAGATACTTTGCTAGGTGCCATGTATGATCCAAGGGAAACTCAGATGGGGATTTTGATCATGGTTTCCATAATCTGTAAGGGAAAATAAAGCATATACATCAGTATCAATGATCCCAAATTGAAAAAAAAGTTGTAGACAATAGTTGTAGACATAGACTATATAGTGCTATGGAAACTCAAGGGGTGGAATTTATTTATTTATAGTCCAGAATTTCATGAAAGACATGGATAGAATGGGTGATCATGGCATAGGCTTTGATCATGAGGGATTATGAAGAAAGGCACTTTCCGTGGAGACAGCAGGTTGAACAAAGGAAAGAAAGTTTTAATATGTAGACACTTAGTTTTAGACTTTGAGAATTTTTTATTGTTGTTTGTGTTTGATTATTTGAGACAGTATCTCACTCTATAGCCAAAGTTGCCCTGGAAGTCACAATTCAGCTCGAGATTATAGGCATAAACCACCAGGGATCCTATGATTTCTATAAGATTTGTAAGCAGGTGTAACAGACCTCACTAGATCGCTACACAAGTGAATCTAATCAGTGTGCCTTATTACTTTGCTTCATACCTAGGTGATAAAGACCAGGCTGATTTTAGGTAAAACAGGGGAGTATTCTGGGATTCTTGACTGTGGCAGGAAGCTTCTGAAGACAGAGGGCATTCAGGCCTTCTGCAAAGGCTATGTTCCCAACCTGATTGGCATCGTTCCATATGCAGGCTTAGATCTCGCCATCTTTGAGGTGAGTTCATTCTCAAGGTATGACATTGTGCATTGTATTTGACAATACGACACAAGAATTTTATTTTGAGATAAAGATACAGCTTTGCATGAAATAGCTTCTGATCAAGAACCAAACTGAGTATTCTTATTTGCATTTCTCTCAGACATCTGATAAGCTAGTCATTTTTGTTTGTAACTTCTTGGCAGTGATGATTATAGACATAACTTCTGAGACAATAGTAGTTTTTATCCCTGGATGTGCATCAAAATCACCTACTTGTAGATCTTTAAAAGGATAGACCCCCTTGACCACATCCCGAGTATTCTGATTTAATTATCCCAGGGAAGCCTGATGTAGTTGGAATTTACTTTGGGCCACCAACCAGCTCCCAAATAAAGACATGGAGACTGGTTATTAATTAGGAATACTTGGCCTTGGCTTGGACTTGTCCCACTAGCTCTTTTAACTTAATTTAACCTGTTTCTATTAGTTCATGTTTTGCCTTGGGGCTTTTTATCTTTCTTTCATTCTGTATGTTCTACTTTCCTGCTTCCTCCTTGTCTGTCGGTCTGGCCCCAGTGTCTCCCTGGAACCTCTTCTTCTTTCCCAATATTAATTTCTCCTCCTACTTATTCTCCCTGCCCAGAAGTCCCATCTATACCTCCTTCCTGGCTGTTGGCCATTCAGCTTTTTATTAGACCAATCAAGTGCTTTAGACAGGCAACACTTCCTTACATAATTAAACAAATGCAACACATCTTTACATAGTTAAATAAATATTTCACAACATAAACAAATGTAACATATCTTTACTTGGTTAGACCAATGCAGCACATTTTTGCATAGTTAAACAAATATTCTGCAAATCCAGGGATTCAGATTTCCTAGCCACCCAGAAGATTCTGGGTGCACAGGTGGGGTTGAGAAAACAACTGTTTTGTCATGGTTATGAAGATCAGAATTAACGAAAGGAATAAACCTGGACTAAAGATGAGAGCCAGCCTACAAGTGAAACCCTGACAGTGCAGTGTTATCAGACAGGGTCACAGGCATTTCATGATCATGATCATGCATCTGTCTTAGGACATAAAGTGGGTTTGCATTAATTCCTGGATATTGCATTGAATATCCAGAATTTTTTTTCTGGTTTTAAAAACCAAAACAATCAAAAGAAAACAAAAGCAAAGCCAGGGGAAAACACATAAGAAGTGTAGATAGACAGTGAGTGTGAAGTTCAGGTGCTAAACTTTATTCTACTTGGACTTGCAACAAAGTCTTTCTTCCCCACCAGCTCCTGAAGAATTACTGGCTGGAACACTACTCAGTCAACTCCGTGAACCCTGGGATAGCAATCGTGCTGGGCTTCAGCACACTGTCACACACTTGTGGCCAATTAGCCAGTTTCCCCCTGAACCTTGTTAGAACTCGAATGCAGGCAGGTGAGTTTTTTATTATTTTAATTTAGTTAAGTCATCACTAAGGTAAGAAATATGTTTTAAATAGTTATGAATTATGATTTTAAAAGGAGAAAACCCATAGAATTGATAAAGGAAAAAACTAACTGATTTTAAAACACTAGATCTGAATTTATTATTATTATGTTTTAAAAGATTTATTTATTTTATTTTATGTGTTTGAGTGTTATTACTTGCATGTGTCTACATGTACTACACAAATGCAGTGCCTGAAGCAGCCAGAAGAGGCCAATAGATCTCTAGGAGCTGGCTTTACAGATGGTCATGTGCCTCTCTGTGAGTCCTGGGAACTGAACCTGGGTCCACTGGAAGGAGCAGCAAGTGCTCTTAACCATTGAGCCACCTCTCTGGGAACCTTTTGTAAATTTCAAATGTTTTTTCCCCCTCCAAAGTTCTGTGTGGAGCTTCCACATTTGCTCCAGTTACGATGATCTCTTTAAGAAGATTTTAATCAGGAAGTGTCATGTAGAATAATGGAAAGGGTTTCTTTCTTTAAATCAAACCCACAGCTAATCCACAGAGGAGAGTTGCTCTTCTTGGTGTTGCTGTCGCTGTTGTAAACTGCACTGTGACTGTACTTCAGGCGGCTCAGGGAGGGGACAATTAGTCCTGTGTGTTTGCTCTTGGTGAAGTGTTCAGGGTTTAGATTTTTAACAAATGAAACAAAAAAAAAAATCACCTTTCAAAGATGAAAAAAGCAACACAATGCTATTATATTCTTGAGTGAGTTAAGGGGTAGCACAGTGAGTAACATGCTTTTTCTTTTTCTTTCTCCTGACCTTTCTCAGTTAGGCTTTGAATTCAATTTCATTGCAATTGAAATGGAGAATTTCTCTGTCCAGTATCACTCATGCCTTCTTCTATTAAACTACCTTTCAGTTCCTCTTCCAAATGCCTCTGTGAAGTCTCTCATGAAAATTTGCAAGTTGCTCAAGGGAACTCTCCTCAGTATTGAAATCATCTATATCTGTCCCCCTCCAGTATAGTGGCCACGGATGATGTTTGAAATGTTCTAATATGACTGAAGGCAGAAATTTAATTTAATTTTAATTAAATAACCACATGTACAGTTACTTCCCTATTTGAGTAATATAGTATCATTCTATATGTGAGTATCCTCTGAAATGATTTCAACATCTACAAATTATCATTATTTTTGGGTTAAATTAATATGAAGTCTTAAATATTGAATTATTCTGTTTTTTTTAAATTTATAGCTATCCTGGAAAAGGAAACCATACCTATGTTGCAGCTCATTAAAGAAATATACATTAAAGAAGGAAAGAAGGGATTTTTCAGGGGTCTCACCCCTAATATCATGAAGCTGCTTCCAGCAGTGGGCATTGGCTCTGTGGCTCATGAATTACTGAAACTGCTTTTTGGATTAACCTAGAGGTGCAATATCAGTCTGCCGAACTGCCATAATCACTAAGGTGTAAAACAACCCTGGGCTGTAAGATGATCTTCCTTTTTCCTAAAAGGAAAGAAATATCAACTACTTGTAAAATTACTTTTTCTTTATTTATTATAAAATATACAAATTAAACTATATACAATATACAAACAAAACTATAATTTTGGAAGAGTTCTTTAATAATTTCAAATCCTTTATTACCCCCAGAATTCTTATTTTACATTTCCTGTTGGCTTCTGCTTAATTCTAAAACTAGGTTTAGATTGGGTGCTAGTAGAATATGCAGCTGCATTAGAAAACATTTGGTAAGCTACACAAGAGTTTTTTTTTTTTTTTTTTTTTTTGCTAGCATTCTTTTTTTTAAGTTAAGGTTGAACATGTTTTACACAGTAAAGGAAAAATCAATGCATTTAAATTTGACATTACAGTTAATCTCGTCAGCAAAATGGACAATCCACTTCATGATTCCTTCCAGACTGTTATGGATTAGGTAACATGGCTTGTCACTGTCCTTGCTAGCCCTGTGTCCCCTTCAGTTTCTGCACAACCCATCATTCTCACCTCCCTCCACTCCAAGATGGTTTTATCTTCCTAAACATCTCTGTAGACAAGCACTGCATCCCTTGCTTAGGCTGGGAGAGTTCCTGGATACAAGCCTTGAGAATGATTTGCCTAGGGAAGCAGCTTCTTTTTTACTCCATTGTGAGAAATGTTGGCTAACATTCTTAATTCTACCCCTTTGTGCCTTTAAAACCTACTCACTTCAATGTTGCTGGGAGTGGAGCAGCTGTCTCCTCCCAGGAGGGGGACAGGGATGTGTGTGTATGACTCAGAGCAGATTATCTCCAAAATTCCTTTTCTGAGTCATTGCCTTTTATTTGTGGTGTGACTGAGAGCTTCAGGGGTCATAAAATTGATGGAGCAATAATGCTACTATGACCTTATATTTCACTTTTAAATAAGATGTCTATCATCAGAACTCTGTTAACAGTTGCTTAGTTCTGCAAGGGTGAGCTAATGGACCCCCAGACTGATAGCTGGACTGACTCAGACCCCCTGAACATGAGTCTCAGTTAGAAGGCCTGGGCAGACTTAGGGACCTCTGACAGTGAAACCAGGATGTATCCCTGGTGCATGAAAGGACTTTGGGAGCACATTCTCCATGGAGGGATACTCCCTTAGCCTAGAGGCAAGAGGCAGGGCCTAGTCCCTACTCCAAATGACTTGACAGATTTAGATAACCCCTCCAGGAAGGCATCACCCTACATGTGGAATGTGTGTGTGTAGGGGGTGGATGGGATGGGAGGGAAGGAGGGAGGGAGAGAGAGAGGGAACTGGGATCGATATGTAAAATAAGAAATAATAATAATAATAATAAAACAGTTGCTTAGTTCTGTATTAAACTTTTACTTCATTAGCAAGTATCAGTTCTACAAAATGAATAGATTAACGGTGTCATTTTCATACATTATGTTATATACTTTGATCACATTCAACAATAAACTCGGTTAAAAAGTGAGCAAAGGACTTGGATAGACATTTCCCCAAAGAAAATATACAAATGATGCAAATAAGCAAAGAAAAGCTGCTTGACATTCCTGACCACAGGGAAAGCAAATTAAAACCTAGGTAAAATCTCATTTTACACCACCGTGGTGCCTATTATTGAAAGCAGCAAGTTCTGCTGAGGATGTAGAGAACTGGGGCCTGTGCACTGCTAACGGGCACAGTGCCTCTGCCATGAAGAACATCTCCCCAGGGGATCTCATCACCCAAAGTAAGAACAAGCCTGTGTCCAGCAGCTCGTGATATTTCAAAACAATTCAAAGCAGGGCGCAAGGAGCTCCTTGCTCATCTGTGCTCATATCAGCATTGCTTGCAATAACCAAAATGTGCAAGATCCCGAAAGTCCGTCTGCAGGTGAATAAACTGTGGTGCGAGCATATAATGGAATGCTATTTGTCCTTTAAAAGAAAATCCTGATACATATTACAATATGGAGGAACCTGGAGGATACCATACTAAGTGCAATAAGCTCATTACAATGTATAAACACTGTATGTTCACTTATGTAAGTCACCAAGAGTGATTAGACTCATGGAGGCAGGTGGGATGGTGGATGCCAGTGGCGTGGGAGGGAGAGGTGGCAACTGGAGTTACAAATGGCTGTGAGCTGCCATGTGAGTGCTGGGTATCAACCAAACCTAGGCCCTCTGGAAGAGTGAACTGTGCTATTAACTGCTAAGCCATATCGCCAGCCCCTGACCTAAATTTCATATAGTAGCCTTTGGGAAGGAGCACACTGTTTTCTGTCTCCCTGGATCAGCTCCACTAACACAGGAACTCCAGCTAGTTTCTTCATTGTTGTCTCTCCTACTTGGAAGTCTTTGGGTGGCAGACAGCAGGCATTCAATGAATATTCACTAGTTGAAGAACAACATTCATGGGAAGGGACATCTGCTTACACTTGTTTTATATTCAGTAGAGGGCAAGAGTTTTATACCACTTATTGTTACCAGGCTTTTTTCAACCCTAATTATAGCCCTTTCTTCTTAGAATGTTGAGTATTTTTACAATAGTACCTAATTCTAAGATGATTCTAAGGGAAGTAGTTTATATAACATAATTAATGTTATTGTAGTTTTCCTCTCACCTTTGTGTGTTCTTGTGTGTATGTGTGTGTGTGTTCACATGTGTAGGTGTGTAGGCCAGAGGTCAATATTAGGTATCTTCCTTAATCACTCCCAGTTATATATAAATCTTTACGAGATAGTGTGTGTAAGTGCCAAGGCTTGTGTATGGAGGCCAGAGATCACTTACTGGGGGTTAGTTCTTTCTTCTCACCTGGTGGGTCCCAAGGACTGAACTCAGATCATCAGGATTAAAGATAGAATAGGTATCTCTACTTGCTGAACCATCTCCAAGACTCTCCACCTTATTTTTTTGAGACAGAGTCTCTCATAAACCTGGAGCTTGCATATTCAGGCAAGATTGGCTGGGTAGCAAACCCTACAGATACCCTGTCTTTGCCTATACAGCACTGGGATTATAGGTGTGCACCGCCATCTACTGATCTATCTATCTGCCTGTATGTCTGCCTGTCTGCCTGTCTGTCTGTCTGTCTGTCTGTCTGTCTGTCTGTCTGTCTATCAGTGTGGATGATAGGGGGTTGAACTCAGGTCTCCCGCTTAGAAGGCAAACATTTTACTGACTGAGACACCTTCCCAGAAATCCTCACCCCAATCCTTAACTTAATGTGTTATTAATCTGCCTTCTAAAGCAACAAAACTTCCTGGGAGCTTTGCTTTCAATAGCTTAACATGTATCACTGTCTTATGCTATAATAGAACTCTAGCTGAGAGTTTAATTTTTCTCCAGCCTGTGGTCACCTCTGTCATTGTTCCTGGGTCAAGCATTCCTGACTACTCCCAGTGACCTTTTGAACTTTATTTGCTTTCAATCTTTTCCCTTTCTGGAAAGCAGGGAGGCAAGTTTGACAGTTATAGTAAACAAAACTGAGTGGGTCTCTGAGTAAGGATGAAGGTGGTGGCCACAGTGCACTGCATCCTCAGCATCATCCTCTTACACTGACTGTTGCTTCTGTGTCTGCAAGGAGAAAAGCGGTCAAGCTTTGTCACAGAACAGGGAGTCTTTTTTAATATTAATTTATTTTTTTATTTTTATTTTACATATTGATCCCAGTTCCCTCTCCCTCCCTCCTTCCCTCTTTCCCTGTCTCCTACCCTCACATGCCCCCCATCACCCTCCCTTCCCATCCCCCCCCCACTCCACATGTAGGGTGATGCTCTCCAGGAGGGGTCATCTAAATCTGTCAAGTCATTTGAAGTAGGGCCTAGGACTTCTCTCCTGTCTCTAGGCTAAGGGAGTATCCCTCCATGGGGGATGTGCCCACAAAGTCCTTTTGTGCACCAGGGATACATCCTGGTTCCACTGTCTGAGGTCCCTTAGACTGCTCAGGCCTTCTAGCTGAGACCCATGCAGAACAGGGAGTCTTAAAGAGAGTGTTTTATACTGGGCAAGTCTGAAACCTGTGCGAGCTTTATCAGAATATATTCCACAAGTAGATAAGAAAATATCAGCCATTACGTGTTCATTATGTACATCAAGCCTTGCCTTTAGGCTTGTGTGGAATATTTCCAACATAAAAATGAAGACATGTATTTGGAAAGTTTAGTTTATCCTTCATGGCTGATAGAAGATTCGTGAAGGTTAAATTATACAGAGGCTTAGTGAAACCAATGCTGACTTAATTCACTATGTGATACTGGGCAAAGGATGGATCACATGACACACCCTCAGCATGTCATTTTCTTTTTTCCTCATGACTCTGGGTGTATAGGAAAACCTCTGCCTTTGCTCATTTCTTCTTGCTAGCTTCCTAACTACATCATAGGAGACTGTATGGGAGAGAAGTCAGGGAGATAAATTCTGTGCTGTAACCTCATGGTCATCAAAGTGAACTTAAGTGACCAGTGTTTCATCTCTCATCATCTGGATGGCTTTTACTCTTCCACACTGCCAACCTCATGGAAGTATTATATAAACTATGGGTTGTTTTCATCCTGGTCATAAGGAGCTGGTTTTACTTAGGTTGCTTCTGAAAAGGAAAATATGATACAAGTAAATCAGTCTTAGAAGGAAAGGAATTTCTCTTCCTTCCTTCCTTCCTTCCTTCCTTCCTTCCTTCCTTCCTTTCTTTCTTCCTTTCTTTCTTTCAAAGAATATTGGGGCTTTGTTTGCTTCAAAAGCCATTTTGCAAAATTTGCAAGGCCATGCAACATAGGAAAGAAGCAGTCCATGTATTCTCATTCACAAATTCCATCCAAATTTTACCTGCTCTCCAAACAATATCCTTTCAAGCCACATGCAGAACTTCTCTTCTTTCTGGTCTTCTTCAATAAAGAACAACAACCAAGTCTTTCCTTGACTTCCATTATCTTCATAAATGTAGAGGTTACAGACTGTAGAATGTTCTGTTTTAGTCTGTCTGTTTTGCATTCAGGCTCATCCAAGCAGACACCTACTTCCCCATCCTTGATCCCTGCCATACAGCTTGTGTCACTCAGACCTGCCTGGTGCTCTTACCTTGTAAGGAAGATAGGAAAGAAAAAGGAAGGGAGGGAGAAGGGTGGAGGGAAGAAAAGAAGGAAGCATAACTGGTTAAAGATGGAGAGAAGAAGGGAGTAACGAAAGGACAGAGGAAGCAAGCAGGAAGAGGGACCATTGGTGTTTTATATATAAAGTAGAAGCGTACCAAAGTGATCAATGATTACTGTTATTAAAAAGACTCACATTACTTACACTACATGTATAGTTTTCAGGACATAATTCAGATAATGTTGAAACACTGAAGTCTTAACAGGATCTTTTAAAATAATTTTCAAAATGCTGAGGTATGATTGTAAAGCCAATTATAGTTCTATTATTTAAAACAATTAGAATTATTTTAAAATGCGAAGTATTCACTTGAGTTACTAGCGGTGGTGATTTTAGCAAGTTAGTGCCATGTTTTTACAGTAGAGAATTATTTTCATTCATTTGGGGAAATGGGATGGGTTGGTAGATAGCCTGGACAAGAGACAGAATTTATTCACCTTTTAACCTGGATTTCTGGCTCCTAAATGACTTAGAATATGATAGAATTTCCAATGTAACATGAATGAGCCTAAACCTAAAATGATCACTTTCTCACTACAGTGCAAGGACACCAAGGTTCGTATTTCACTGCATGATAAACTGTACAGCAACACTGCTACAACTGTGGCAGAACTGGTCTTCGTGGAGTGTCTGATGATTTGTCTTTAACAGGGCAATTAGTAGCTGATAATGAAAAGAGCAAACACGTTTACCTGCCTGAACTGTGAGGCAGTCCAGTGCTTTTTAAAGCAGATCAGCTACCACTCCAAGGAATCCAAGATAGGTGCTGAAGTCTTCAAGGACCAAAACTGACGGGGTCAAGAAAGTGAAGGGCATGAGAAGGCCAGAAGCCTTTTAAAGCAGAAGTGCTGTTAGACTGAAAGCTAGACATTTTTTTTCCTGACCACAGAAATGAATCAAATAAATGTGAGCCCAGGAGTTTTCTGTGTGGCCTTTGTGGGAGCTCTTGGCCTTGGGGGCTTTACCAACAGACACAGACAGGAAAGGGGAACCCTCTCATGGAGATGTCTGAACTCAGTGAACATTTTCTTCTCCTATGTAGAAACTTGCTATGACTGCTATCTGTGTGTTAACCATTAACCATGCTTTACCATCGTAGCAAATGGTGGAGATACTCAGTTTATAAGTGGGGAGAGGTTCTCCTGGGATTAGTGTTTCAAACATGCTAGTCCATGGTCACATGACTCTACTGCTTATAGGCTACTACTGTGTGATTGGGGGCATGAGGGGATGGGAGGAGAGGGAGAGAGAGAGAGAGAGAGAGAGAGAGAGAGAGAGAGAGAGAGAGAGAGAGAGAGAGAGAGCGCCCTAGGTGACAACAGCAGAGAGTACAAGAGGAATAAAACTTCTCACCTCATGGCTGGGAAGGAAGAACCAGAGACTGGGGTTCTACAGCTCTCATGGTACAGTTCTCCCCCCACTAGCCTGAAGACCTTACTGGACCCCTCTCCACTGTGTTATCCTTAGGACCAATGATTTAACATGGGCCTTCTGAGGGCATCCTGTTGCTTGAGTTTCTTTCCAGCCTGGTCCTGCAGCCAATTAGCCCCAAATAAACACATGAAGACTTATATTAATTTATAAACTGTTGGGCAATAGCTAGGGATTCTTACCAGATAGCTCTCTCTTAATTATTAACCCATAACTACTAATCTATGTATTTCTATATGGTCTTACCTGGTACATCCTATCTTCCCAGTCTCTGCATGGCGTCTCCCTTGAGGCCTCTCTCTGTCTCCCTCTCGCCAGCCTTCTCTTAGTCTAGTAGCCCTGCCTATCCTTTCTGCCTGGCTATTGGCCAATCAGTGTTTTACTCATCAACCAATAAGAGAAACACATACAAAAGGATACCACCCATCAGCATCCATATCTAAACTAAGCAATTGTGTAGTTTCTCAATCCATTGAACTTATATTAGTAAAACAGTAAAACTTATCACCAGATGATTAGAAGGTAACCCTAAGTTTTTATTAGATTCAACAACAACAACAACAACAAAAAGCCGGTAAGATTTCTGAATCCTTCCAATGTCCCACTTGCCTTGTGGCACCAGTTTATTTTCTTCCTCCCAAACCACTCACTGTTTTTGTTTCAGTGTGATTCCTTGAAGGCAATTAAAGCAAGTCCACAAACACCTGAATAAAGAGCAACATATTTATTTGGGGAGTACTCACACAGTGATGGTAAATAAACACCATGGTCTTCTGTACCTGAAGGCACAGAGTCTGCGATGCAGGTTACTCAGACCACAACTCAAGAGAGAGGCAGAGGGAGTACTTCCTCTTCCTTATAAGAAGGCACATCGGTACACTGAAGCCATACCCTAAAATCATTACCTCAAGTCTATTGGTGGAACGAGATGCCACTATAATACCTATGCTGGAAGCCTGAAGTTTGCTTCTGAGCAGTTCAGAACCCTGACTCTGTAGGCTGATGGCTCCCAGCATTACTTTTTTTTTTTTTTTTTGCTTTACACAGTTAGCTTTTATTATCCAGATTGTTGCTTTAAACAAGTTCTTCACAAAGCTCATTTGAAACATGATTTATGTAAACATTTTACAAGTTAAGTTTGGTAATCTAAATCTTTAAAGTAACTTCTGGGTTGTTAATTTCTAGTTCACTCTTCTGTGAACATCAAGATTTTACTTACAAACATCCAATGTTTGATTCTGCAGAGAGTACCAAGAGTTCTGATGGAAAAAAATTGAATTGTGGAAAAAAAAATCTTATCAGCTGTTATACAACATGGCCTCATGACCATCCAACAAGCAGTTACAGTATCTGTTTGAAGACTTTAAATCTAACATGCTCTAATTTCAGTATAAACATTTCTCTATCCAGTTTCCCAAGAGAAGCAAAAGTGAGGGTGACATATTCAGCATGATCATAGAAACTGCTGACCTGCACAAGGAGGAGCTCATGAACTCCAGTCTGACAACTGGCAAATGAGCATAGGACTGACCCAGACTCCCTGAACATGGGTGCTAGTTAGGAGGACTGGGCAGTCTATGAGGCCTCTGGTAGGCTCCCAGCATTACTGATAGCAAAGTTTAAAATCTGAACACTTCACAAACTCACATTTGATATTCATGGTGCTTGTTTAAGAAATCTTTATTCTATTTTGTTCATGTTTAAGACTGGTTTTCAAGTCTGCTTCATTGAGACTCTTCACACAGAACAAAATTAACCTACATAGGTTTCTGATAAGCACACCTTATGCAATCACCTACATAATCAAGATCTAGGGAAGTCCCATCATTCCCATTCCTATGCTGCCCTTTGCTCTTAGAATCAGCCCTACCCCTAATAAAAAATGACTTGCAACTCTAGCAGCTCCTGATTTTATTTATTTATATATATATATATATATATATATATATATATATATTCTTTCCAGAATGTCCTAGCATGCCAGCTTCCTGGCAGCAACAGCTTTTCCCTGCTGAGAGACATTTCCTTTTGTGAACACAGCACTGGTTGTTTAGGAGTTCACCCACTCAGGACTTTTTGGTTGATTTTGGGTTGGCAAGAGTCTTCTCTCAAGATGAACATATCTCCATAGAGGGCCTTAGGGCATTATTAAGGAGAGGTAACAAGAACAGGCGATGCCTGAGGGCTTTTCCCCTAGGAAGGGGCAAATTCCCAAGACTACAATGTGGAAGCAATACAGAAACTGATTTCAGGACCATTTTTATTAACAGCAGGCAGTCCTTATCTTCACCCACAGTTAATATTCATACACTGTTTTAAACAGATAGGATGGTAGGGACGGAGGTAAATTCAAAATCTTAGATCTCGGCTTTTGAAGAAGCAAATGATTTTAGTTTCCGTTTTAAATTCCCGAAGACAACAGGAAATTAACCGCAGTTTTTACTAAGTGGGGTGACTGGAGGGAGAGTATTTCAAAGAAGGGTCATCCCGCATGATGGTGAGGCTGCTGCTCATATTCTCATTTTACTGACAAAAGGCTATGCAGGGAAGCTATGTCCCATCTTTGGAATTACACAGCTGAAGTATCGAGTGTTGGATCTTCTCTCTGTAGACCCTAAGTTTCTCCCATTATTTTAGAAACTGTCTCTCCCGAGCTGTAAATGCCAAACATCAGAACCACACGTCTCTTGAGGGGAAGTAGCTAAAGTTTCTCTGCATGCTGTGGAAAGGTACCATCTGTGCGTCATCTTCCCTCCTTTTTTCACGGCCTTCTGGGTGACCAATGCTCTTCTCTGAAAAAGAACTTTTGCTGGTCCCTCCTTGCTCCTTTAGGTCTTTCCACATTTGACTTGCCATCCCAGTTACCCACCTACTGCCATCATCTGGTTCTCAAACTCTCCCAGTCCAATGGGCTTTTAAGGCCGAGCAACCTGTCCTTCAACACACCAAGTTGCAGCTTCGAGGGCCTCTGGACAGAGCAGAACCCCTTCCTGTGTCCTGAGTGCCCCATCCTGCCTGCCTGCACGTTCCGGGCCAGAATCTGGCCCAGCCTGTCCCAGCAGCCAACCCGGCCTGGGCCAGCTCCGCCCCGAGCAGCAGCTGGGCGGCCACACCCTGAGCCGAGCTGGGTTCCTGTGAGCCAGAAGCCTCGCCCCCCGACGACGTTCCAAAGGCTCTGCGGCTGCCGCCCCACCCAGTCAGGCCTCACCACCCGGATCACTCCTGGCCAGGGCCAGCCTGCGGTGACTTTTTCGGGACCATGCTGCTGCGCTGGCTGCGGGCTTTCGTGCTGCCGACCGCCGCCTGCCAGGACGCGGAGCCGCCCACGCGCTACGAGACGCTCTTCCGGGCGCTGGACCGCAATGGAGACGGCGTGGTGGACATCCGAGAGCTGCAGCAGGGGCTGCAGAACCTGGGCATCCCACTGGGCCAGGACGCGGAGGAGGTGGGTCGCCGAGGGGTGCTGGGGCAGCTGCAGGCTCCCCGAGGACACAACCAGGTACAGGGAGGGAGGTGGCCTGAGGCCAGTCAAGAAGGCGGAACTATGAGCTCCAGAGAGTTGGATCCCCAAGGCGGCGGATATTTTTCCAGATAAATTAGTGTTGCACACTTAAAACTGCCAATGCAGAGCATCTCTGGTTTTTGGTTCTTCACCTGCCCTATCTTTCGCCAACACTACGAGGTTGTTCAAAGGTTTGTAGGGCTCAAGTTAGGTGGAAGAGACACTTTGTGTCTCTTTGAAGCAGCTTTGTTACAACTACCAGAGTTTATTGTTTCAAAAACGGGTTAAACCCAACAGTGCTCCCAGCTGCTGGTTGAGGTAGAAAGGCCACATTCCGTTTTTTATGACATTCTAAGTTAGTGCCCTATGTACACACGTTGATCTGAAGGGTTGACTTGTAAAGCAATTGTGCTTCTTCTGAGTCAGTAAATTGCGCCCCTGACGTCCAGGTCCCCTGGCAGTGTGAACACTGGGTCTGGAATTTGTCCAGCCCGCAGCCGTGCAAGAGGACACTGGCTTTCCTATCCCAAGAGGAACGTGCTTGAGTTACCGCGGGGCCCACCAACTGTTCTGTACCTATATTTAAAACTTCTCCTTCAGTGTTGATGTCCTTAATAGAGGCCTCTTCACTTTACTATGTTATCTTATCTTAGTAAGTTACAACTTTTTCTTTTTGGAAACTACCTGTTTTGCCCAAAGTTATTATGTATTTAATTTTTGATCTCTGTTCTTTCCCCTTCTTCACTTTGGCTGTAGGCGTGCCTATTTAATAGATGTTCTGAAAGAACCACCTTTGGGTACCTTTTGATGAAGTGTGTTCTATTTGCTCTGGGTTGACTCATTTCCTTCTATTTCTTGAATCAAAGGCCGGACTGCCCAATTTTGAGTGATAGCATCTCTTTGCTGCTGGTAGCTGCATCTCACAGGTGTTTTGGGGGTTGTTTGTTTTGTTTTTGAAACAGGGTCTCTGTGTAATAACCCATGCTGATCTGGAACTCTGTAGACCAGGCTGGCCTCAAACTCACAGAGTGGTGGGATTAAAGGCGTGTGTCACCACCGTCTGGTGTGTATTTGTTTTTATTGTTCTCTTTCAGGTGTTTTCTAATCACTAGCATGATTTCTTTGACTCTTGTATCATTGTAAATGTGCTTCAAATTTCCCAATACGTTTTTGTTTTTTGAAAATATGAATAAAGCAGATAAAACATCTGGTGAGATTTTAAAAAAGAGAGGGAGTAGCCAGGCATGATGGTGCATGCCTATAATCCCAGAACTCTGGGAGCCGAGGCAGGAGAATTGCCACAAGTTACAGGTCAGCTCTGTCCTCCTCTCCTTTAAGTCAAACCTGAGTGAACTGAAACAAACTGCAATAACAAAACTTCAAAACCCCTGACCCCAAAATAACAACTCAGAATCATGAGAAAAATTTATTACACATAAAATAAATTATATAAAACTATGAGTGTATAAACACAAAGAACAGGGCTTCATCACTAATAAATGTATATATTTTGTACATTTATATACATTATATTTTATTCAGGCATGTAGTGTCACTACTGGTGTTCATGTCTGGCATGATCAAATTATTTCCGGCATTAATGCATTTGTCTGCAAAAGGTTAATAATAGTTATTTCTCAATGATAAAAGACTAATCTACTTTCTTCTTTACAATATTTGTACTATTTCAGTTTGAGAAAAATAAATGCCCATTATTTTTATAATTAAGGATAAGTTATTTTTATTTTGAATAATTGTCGCCTCCTAGACCACCTAGCAGAGATGAGCTGACTGTGTACCACTGTTTGTGACTTCTTTGCCTCACACGTCTCTCTGCTTTTAAAGTTTGAGAGTGGTATTACTTATTTAATCTTTATGCCCTTCAACAGGACCAGCATTTAGGATTCACAGTTCTGTCTCACTTCACTCATTGGATCAGAGGGATCTCAAAGGACTTAGGGCTAGCCCTGAAACACACTGACATGGCAGTGACCTGTCTTTTAATAGTTAAAAAGAAAAAAGACAAAATCGAACTTTAAATCAGTTACATTTGTTACTGTTTTGTACACTTGTTTATTTATTTGTACCTGTGTGCACATGTGCTTGTGTGGGGACCATTCCATGTATGTGGAGGTCAGAGGACAACTCATGGAGGGTCACTTCTCTCTTCTTACCAAGTGAACTCCAGGATGAAACTCAGGCCTTGGTGGCCAGTGCCTTTACCCTCTGTGTTGTCCTGTAGGACATCAGTCCTTAATGTTTCTGCTTTCATCATAAGTAGGACCAGCTGGGCAAAAACAGGCTGGGGAAAACTGGATAAGCATGTGGTATGTGATATGGCAGGGGGTTCCTTGGCCATGTGCCAACTTGTATTCCTTGTTGATTCCCACTTCAAGCCATTCCTCCTCACACAAGCAGTGAATACCACCTCCTCACCCCTAGACGCCTACTAGGAAGATTCTCCTCTTCATTTCCTAAGGCTCCTTCTCCTTGGCTGGAGTATGGCAGCTCTGGTTGTTTTGTGTTCACACATTCAGGGATCTATAGTTAACTAGGCTTTAGCTTTCCCTCCTCATTTACAGTGGACTGGGGTTTGAATAAGAGCTTCATTCAATACAGGAGTTTCTAGGAAGTTGAGGCCAGGCTGATAGGGAATTAGCCAAGTGGTATCGACCAAAGGATGAGGCCCAGCTTGAGTTTCCCACAGAATCCAGTCACTGCCTGGAGCTGCCCAGGGATAGGATGGCCTTGCAGTGTACCAGAAGGTGCCATGGCTGGAGGCCAGAGGATGTCAGTTAGCCATGTCCCACAGGCAGGGTCCCTTGAAGGGAAATAATCCCACTCTCCACAGGCCATGGTTCCCACAATACACAAGAGTCCTCAATAATTTTCAAGGTTCTAAAAATGATACAGAGACCAAAGGTATTGTTAATTATTGTTATGCAACATTTTTTAATGATTGTGTGATAGACTACTTCATGTGGATGTAAAATTAATCTATTGCCAATATTCTGATTGCCATTTAACTTATAGTTTCAAAACTGTGTCAAATAAAATTACATTAGAATCCATTATTTTTATTTTTTATTCTGTTCAGTGGATTGGCATATGCCCATGCACAGTCTACTGATTCTAATGCTAATATCTTCCAAAATTACTCACACACTCAGAAATGTTACTGGCTACCTGGGTTTCCTTTATATATTAATCAAATTGTCATATAAAGTTCACCATTATATCTGGGAAGCTGGAGCCAATAAAATACTTCAATTTAAGTATACTGAACTGAGGAGATGGTCCATTTGAGGACAAAGGGGTAAGAACTATGGATGACTCCAAGTTTCAAAATAATAGTTTGTCCCCAAGACAAATATTTACCTTGACAGGAAATCCCTATAGAATTTTACCAAATTTTTGTCTTCATCATATTTTCAAGCTTTTTCTTTTCAATAAATTTAGCACTTAGAAGAGAACAAATATCTGTTTTTAAATTTTTTAGATTTTATACTATTTCTCCCATTTATTTACTATATGCAAACACACCTGAACACCATGGTGCACATGTGGACATCAGAGGACAACTTGTAGGAGTTGGTTCTCTCTCTGGGAATTGAACCCGGGTCAGTAGGATTGGTGGCAAGCACCTTTACCTGCCGAACCATCTTGCCAGCCCCAGGCTCCTGTTGTTTCAGTTTTCCATACAACAAATATCTGAGTAGAATGCAGAGAATAGGTACAAAGCCCACAATAGTTAATCATTGGTAAGTATTCCAGAATTACTGAGGGGAGAGAAAAGACTTTAAGGTAGGCAATCACGAGAAAAAAATTAAGAGCTAGCCAGATGTGAAATTGCTATGCTGTATTTTTTATGCTATGACCTCTGTTTTCTCTTTCTAAAATTTATTCATTGAAAATTTCATACAGAGATACAATGCATCTTTTTAAAAAGTTTTTAAAAATTATTATTTTTTTATTTTTGAGATTATAATATAATTACCAAATTTCTACCTTCCCTTTCCTCCCTCTAAAATCTCCAAATACCCTCCCTTCATTCAAATTCATGGTCTCTTTTTTTATTAGGTATTGCTGCATTCATATATGTATATGTTATGAGTTGTTTTTCTGCCAGCCTTGTCATGTCAGCCACAAATAACACACAAAGAAACACTATATTAGATATAAAGCTGTTGGCCTGTTACCAGCATTTCTTATTGGCTAGCTCTGTCTTAAATATTAACCCGTTTCTATTAATCTAAGTATTTCCATGTGGTCTCATCTTACCAGAGAGAGGGTCTGAACTTCTACTCTCTTGGTCCTACATTTTGAATCTTCTCCTACTTGTCCCCGAATCCTCCTTGTCTCCTAGTCCTGCCTATCTTGCTATCCTTTTGGCCAACAGGGCTTTACTCATTAACCAATAAGAGAAACATATTTACAAAATGACATCTCCCATCATGTATATTTATATACATACAATGCATCTTAGTCATATTCACCTCCACTCCCTCTCTTCAACTTCCCTCAGCCTTCTCCCCAGTATATTTCCCTTTCAGCTCCAAGTCCCCTTGTGAAGGGATGTGGGGTCATCCACTGGCATGGGCAACATCCCTGTGACCACCCCTAAAGAAAAGTGACTCTGCGTCCCTCAGCAGCTGTCATCGGACTGTAGCTTCTCAGCTTGGGTGGATCCTCAGGAACGCCTCCCACCCTGTGCTTGCATTTTTAACTGGCTTGTTGTCACACAGGCCTTGTGCAGATAACCACAGCTTCTGTGAGTTCATGCGGGCAGCAGCCACTTCATGTCTGGCGGATGTCATTTCAAAGCACTCCCACACTTCTGCTCCTATGTTCTCGCTCTTACGTTCTTTGTACCCCTGCTTCCATGATGTTCCTTGAGCCCCTTATTATGAAATTAAGAGAAAAAAGTCATGTAAGTTCTCCCA